TATTGTAAAGATAAAGTAGAACATGGGAGGAGATGAGGATGATAATATAATGATAGAACTTACAAAAATATAGAATTGAGAAGTTTGAAACAAATAAAATTAAGAAAATAGAGACTTAATTACACTTTTAATAAATTTAAGATAATACTAGTTTTGATTTTTATTTTTAAATATTTATTTTAATTATTTCAAACAGAGAAACTATAATTTTAGTTTCTAGCTACTTGAATTTAAAGAATTAAATTTATTATTATTTAATCTTTTAATTTTAGTATTAAAATTTTAAATTATATTTTATTAAATTAAAATAATTACAATATATTTTTCTCCTTTGAGAATGAACAATATAATTAAACTCAAAATTGACAATATTATAATACATTTTTGAACTCTTTTGGATTAATTTCTTTTTCCTAATTTTTTATAAAGTTAATTTTAATATTTAAAAGTATTTAACATTTTAAATTCTGAAAGGTTTTCTCTAATAGAAAATTTAAAAACATAATATAAAAAAAATAGTTAATGTAAGTTTTAATTATGATCGGTCATAAGCGCATTCGATCAGATTATAATTGAAACCATATAATAGCGGTTTCGGTTTAACGCTATCTAAGTGAGCTTTTAAGAGCGATTCCCCTTCTAACGACTATCTAAAATGTATTTCGCTTGAGCGAAAAATTCTAGCTCGAGCGAAATGCCCCCTGCACAAAAGTGGCATTCTCGGGTTGTATTTAGCTTGAGCGACTCTAATCTCGCTCGAGCGATGGTGCAACCGCACTGTTAGTAAAGATATGTAAAGATATGTAAAAATATAAACATATAAATATATATAAAAATATGTAAAGATATAAACATATATCTTTAATATTTTGTAAATGTAAATATAATTTATATATATTTTTAAATCTTTTTCTAATATTTATTTTTAAAAATATAATATTATTTTTAAAATTTAATATATTTTTTTCAAATATATAAATATATAAAGATATAAATGTATAAGGATATAAATAAATATATAAATATATAAATATATCAAAATATAAATATATAAAAATATAAATATATAAATATATAAATATATAAATATATTAATATATTAATATATAAATATATCAATATATAAATATATATATATATATATAATATATATATATATATATATATATATATATATATATATACAAATATATCAATATTATCCCCTCATATATTAATATACATTATTAGCATAATTTTAATTTAATTAAAAATTAGAATACAAATATACTATACTATACTAATATACCATTATATTATTTTCATTGTATATAAATTACAAAATTAATAATTTGTATACTATACTATACTAATATATTATTTGTATACTATACTAATAGTATAATATACTATATTATAATATTATTTGTATAGAAAACTAATATATTTATATATAAATATGAAGATATAAATATATAAAAATATAAATATATGTAAAAATATATAAAGATATAAATATATCAATATATAAATATATCAATATTTAAATATATATTAAAATATATAAATATATTTTTATTTATAAATTTTATATTTATATATTTGTACGGATATACATTTATTTGTATATAAATATAATTTATTTGTAAGTTATTATTAAAAGATCCTAGTAGCTCGATGGTTGGAGTTTCGACCTCCAACTCTAAGGTACCGGGTTCGAATCCTGACAATGACAATAAACCACCTAATAATAAGTTAAACTTCTAAAAAATATAATATAATTAAGAGATAGGAGAAATAAATATAAATCGGTCACTGATTCGGTTACTAAAATCAGTGACCGATTCCAGTTGGTCACTATTTCGGTCACTATTTTAATTAGTAACCGATTTTGCACATTTAGTGACCGAATTTTCGGTCACTATTTGATGTTTTTCTTGTAGTGTGATATGGAGCATATCCCCAGGGAGCCTGCATTTCATGGGACAACAAAAGGTGTTCCTTGCTCATCCCCATATATGAATTCACATAGTCCAGCACCAACACCATCTATCCCATCTAGTGGTACATCTTCTTCCTGGGGCTCAAAAAGGAAAACCTTGATGATAGATGTGGTGGAACCCCAATTTGAAAATTTAAATACCAAACTAGATGTTGTTCTTGAAGTAATTGGCAAAGACAACAATATTTCCGAAAAATGAGTCATGTATGCGGAAAGACAAGTCATGATTGTTGAAAATAGAAATAAGCTACAGTGCAGGAATGCAAACTTTTAGCATTCTGATACCAACATATGACAATTATTAGTTGACATGCAAATTGGTGATGAAGAAGTGATAGACCATCGTAACGACTTCTTGAGTGTGCATCTATCGCACATAAAACGCTTATTTAGGATGCCAACTTCTCGTCGTTTGAACAAATTAATTAGTATGATGTTGGGAGATCAGGGATGTTTTGTTTGTAATTTGATTGAAAACTATTTTAGTAGCTTATATTAATGTAAATTTGTACTAAACTACTTTTTACTATTTATGTCATCTACGTTAACTATATTTTATGTTGAGTTATTCATTTATAACTTATCATTAATTGAAGTATGTATTATATTGTGCCTTCCATTCATAGTTATCACTTTTTGTTATATTTGTAGGCATGACTTCCTCTTCTTAAAAAAAGACATCAAAGTGACAAAGAAAAAAAAAAAGAGAGGAAAAGGTACTGCTTCTGATCATGAAGATCCTCTGTTACAAATTGAGGTTGAGAATGTATTACATCTTATGTGTTGTTTCAACACACATGAACAAATGGTACAGTATAATAACACATTTAACGAGTGAAAAGTAATGTCCTTCTTCGCCACATCAGGGTTACACTTCCATAATCATATTTAGCCTCAAGGTCTGACACAATTTTGTATGTTAAATTCAAAATATTATAACTTTTACACGAACTTAAAAATCACAAAACAAGGGATTTTGTTCAGTGAGGTCAATAAGACAAACATCAAAATAACACCTGTGGATTGGTTAACTTTGACTGATCTATCTTAAATATGAGGGCCACAAGATGTCATTTCCTGATATCTCTTTCAGAAGACATGAAATACGACTAAGAAATGACATTGAACTTCATGCTTAGACCATAGGTCCAAGGTCGGAATGTGAGAAATGTAGGAAGTTTGCAAATCAATGACAAACTTTTGCATTATGTTCTAGTTCATATATTAACTCCTTGGGCAACAAATTTTACAAAATTAACACAGAGGATATCTTTATGTTGTGGGCATTGAAAAGTAGTATTGGGCATTAAAAAGTAGTATTTTGATTAATTAGTCGCATCATATTATGCAACACATGTTGAAATGCAAGAACAATAACATGTATTTTTCATACGCCATATTCATAACACGTATAATGGTACGTTATGACATGAATTTGATGTTGGACTGATTACTTTAGTAAAAGAATGTTGAACAAATTAAATATTGTTAGTGTTAATGACATGTGGCAACATATAAGGGTCAAACAAGAAGATGAAAATGATGATGAAGACCCTGCAATACCTGAATATGATGTAACTGACATTGGATAAGAAAACCCTGTCCACCATCAACCAGTTCAACCGCATTCAGATTTTCATGATAGTCAAATATTATCACAAATTTAGGGGGATTCAGAAGATGCAAGCAAAAATGCAACGAATGAAGATGATTTAATTAATCTAAACCTAACTATTAGCACAAGTTTCAACATAATTTATAATAAAATTAACGGTTTAGAGGAGTGAGTTGATGACTTTCAAGACTCTTTTCAATATAGTTGATGTCTTAATTTGCTTACTACTATATTTATTTTTATTATTATGTATCACCATGACATTCTAACATTACACTTTCAATATTTATTTATATTGACTTTTTATTTTATTTTTTTGTTGCACATTTTTTTCCTATAATTTTAAAATTTATTTTATCAATTTTAATTCTTAATCATATACTTAAATTTGAATTAACTTTTTAATTAATTTAAAATAAATTTAATAATTTAAATTATAATTTTATTTCATTTAAACAAATTATGTCAATTTTTTTTCAAATTAATTTCAAACTCATATATTTTATTTTATAATAAATTCATATAATTAAATAATAATATCTTTTAAATAATATATCATATCTAATTTTAACATTATTTACTTAACTTATATTTTATTCTTAAATATTTATTTAAGCCAAAAGTAAAATAGTAATTTAACAATTTTATCAATTACTTAATTTTTTTAATCTATTAAATCAATTACATTATTCACAAACTTTCATCTCATTTCTAATCTTTTTTTCTTAATCTAAACAATCTCAAATTTAATTTTCTTTCCCTTTAAATCCACTAATTTCTACTTTCTCAAAATCCATCATCTAATCCAAAAACAAAAGCAAAATTAGTTTTTATATGAGACCTACTTATGCATGCAAGTATCCTTTTATAAACAAATTAAATTATAATTTTCTATATTCCCATGTTATCGAAAAAGGAATAAGTTATTTTCTATATTTTATTATAATTTCTGTTATTTTATTTTAATTAATTTATATATTTTTTTCTGAAATATATATAAAAAGTCAACCAAACTTATTTTAAAACTTCTTTAAAATAAAGTTTTATAATAATAAAATTATAGTATAAACCAATCTAACTTATTACATACCATGCCACTTTATCTTGACATTTTCCCATTGCATGTCCATATCACCATTTTTTGTTTGATCCTTATTATGTATGAAAACTTGTCCAATAAACATGATAAAATAGTTATATTTTATGAAGTTAAATTAATTAACCTTTACCATAACTCACGTAAGATGGATAAGCATAAAACCTTGACCCCTTTTACCATAAAAACTACTTTTACATAAGCATTAAACTCAAGTTTTTTATTACATAAAAAAGTACTTGATTACGTGAACATTAACTACAAATAAGGAAGTGATATGGAGCAATGGGTGAATCATATGCGAAAGCATGGCAGTTTTGGATGGTGAGAAAATAGAAAGCATACATATATTAGTCTGATGATCAAATGAAAGATGTTGCTGTGTTTGTGTTAACCAGAGAGACTTTGATGAAAATGGTTGAAAATTGGGGCATCAATTGATGATCTGAGTTTGTCTGTTTGAGGGAATAGTATGTGGGGGTGTCCCACAAATCACGTGGAAGGGGCACCTCTATTGGCACTTGCACAAAGACAAAGGAGTGGTCATTTACAATCTCCTCTAATCCCCTCTCAGCCAATTATCATCTATCCCTCACGTGGGACTCTTGGCCCTACCTCACTACCCTCTCATAATATATACTCTCTTTTATTGTCTTCCCTCTGCATTAAATCTTCTTCACATCACATTTGCACCTTCTACCTCTTATTCATCCTCTTCTCACACTGCTTTCACCTCCACAGTTTCACATTTAGTGCACATACTTTTGTCAAGTTCACTAGCAATATATAGCTACTTTTGTAGGATCGATCATGGGAGAGTCTTCTAATTCTTCTGCTTCTTACATTCACATGGTAAGAGACTCATCATCTCTCTCTATCTTTGATTTTCACTTTGTGTTGATCATATATATACATCATCGTGGTGGCATGTTTGTACCAAATTAGGTGCAGCACCTGATTGAGAAGTGTTTGATCTTTCACATGTCAAAGGAAGAATGCATGGAGGCTCTGTCCAAGCATGCAAATATCAAGCCTGTCATAACATCCACTGGTATGAATAATCTCTTCTTTTTCATTCCAACCGTTCTCATACACTTAGAAACAACACGTACACATTATGCAAGATTACACATCATTTCATATTTTACAGGATTGAAGAGATACGTGATCAGATCATTTTAAAAATGTAAATTGACTTTTTATAACTAGTTATATATATATGAGCCTCTGACTTGCTATATATGTTCTAGCTAAATCAATTTTGATTGATTAGCAAATTGAAACCTTCAATTTTTGGCTTTGAGAATGTGTCCACCTTGAAACTTCTACACCAGTGACCTACTCAGTTTGCAAGCTGACAACAAGACTGATGCTGTCTGATAAAATAATTCATTCTTTACCAAACATGTTTCAAACATTTTGTGTCTATATTAAATTTTAGAATTCAACCTTGAGAAAAGTTTTAGAATTCGATGTATTTAAATTAGACAAAATATTGTGTTTTAATCTTTACCATCTTTTCAATTCAATCATAACCTAGCTCTTACTAATTAAATACGTGAGTTATCGCTGTGTATGAAATAGATTCAAGTAAATCTGAATCAAAGACCAGAGTGAGAGATTAATTTTTCTCAATGGAATATTATATCACAAATTTCATGTGTCACTTAATTAATTGAGAAAATCATATATACCAATTAAAGATCAGAGCAGATCTTTGTTATTTTTTCTTTGGCCTGATAATTTACCATTTTTGTACAAACTCCCGAATAAAAATTTGCAGGAAAGAAAATAAGATGATAAAAATGAATTAATTGTTGTTACAAGTTAAAAGTAATTAATGTGTAAACTAAAATGAAATGAAAGAAATTTTAGGAATTCATGTATATATACTGTTCACTAACTTCCAGTACGTTCCAGTTACCAAAGAAGCCAAAAACAGAAAAGGTATGAAGTTGCATACATGACGTTCACATTTCTAAGAACCACACAAGATGCATCCGTACACTGAGTGAACTTATTGTGTATAATATTGAATGAATATGTGTGCAGTGTGGAACGAGCTAGAGAAAGAAAACAAGGAATTTTTTGAGGAGTATGCCAAAGCTAAGAGTAAAGACGACCGAATGTCGGAGGAAGAGACAAGCCAAATGATACAGAAGATGATCTCAGATTCCTCTAAAGGTGCTGGCAACGACTGATATTCTGCCATTGAAAATGATCTCACCTCTCTCTCTGTTTGCCTTTTAGCTTCACCACTATGCATGCATAAGTGGTCCCTTCAACATTCCAATGCATGGATATTTCTTATATATTTATCATTGTTCAATTAATATATGCTGTTATATATCTATGTAATCAAAATGGGGTTCTCATACGGAAGAACGCACGGAGACTGCAGTGTAGCGTGGTCCTCATGAAGATCAGAAACATAGAGTCTCCCTTCTATCTTTTATGTAAATGCTATTGGTAGAGGGTGTATGAGTTAGCAAATAACAGTGTGCCATATCAGCAGGTGAAAGATTTCCTTGTAATTTGATTTGGGATAACGTTATATAATTTTATGGTTGATGTGGCCAATACAACATGTGTGTCTTGTACACATACAATAATCACAAAACTTAGTGTAACGTCAACATTATGCAACAGGCGTATCTCCATGTTGTGTATGAGTGATTTAGGAGCATGATGAGTGGTCCGCTTCTGTGTGTGTCCTATCGCATAGGACTGATATTAGGGTTTGTGTCTTGTCGTATCGCATGAATATTAGTATAAAAATGGAAATGGTACTCGAGAAGGAGGACGGTCACAGACACTATCATTTCTCGTTGAGAATAGGTTATTTTTTAATTGGAACATACACGTGTATGTCCCACATTGGAGGAAGTTCATACATTCACCCCATGTCCCACATCCGCCAAAAGTTTTAAGATTAACGTGGTGAAATCACTCAGACAAATAATAATATATATTATTAATTAACATTGAATTAATTACCTTATCTTTTAATTTTACTGTGAAGTACAAAACTTCCAGTGGTTGATGAATATTAGCAAATAAAATGTAAACATTGCAATGTTAAGTTGTCTTAAATGTTGATAAGGTTTTAAAATTTAATGATAATTTATATTTTTTCATTTTAGCTTTTGTATATATGACCTCTAAAAGTTAACTTTGGTGTAATATAGATTATGAGACCACACCAGCTTCATTGACAACTGGGTGATGGAGCAGGATCCCACTTGTGAAAACAAAGTCAGATTTTTCGACACCATTCTCCAGTAACTTCGGTTTTTGGATTCAGTTGAAATGGTTTTGGTCTTATTCAATCATTTTACACATTGTTCACGTCTCTCTGTATCGTATCATCCAAAGAAGGTGAAATTTGAATTTTTGGTGTGGCTAATGTTGATTGGTTTGTGCACACTTTCTTGTATTGATGTGCATAGATGCGACATCAGAGTTTACATAAAAACAAAACGACAAACATCCTTAAATATGAATCCGTGAGCACATAGCCTGAGTAAAAAATTTGTCTGGTTGCATCAATACAAAACATATTAGCATCATCTTTTGTTAACCTTAACAAATACTGACAATGCTCATTTATTTTTTCCTCAGGTCACCAACTTTTTCAAGAATCATCCCACCACAACCATCTATGCATTGTATCATTTGAGTAATTCAAGTATATCTTCAACTTTATCTTTAGGTTAAATCATGTTCACATGCCGTTTTGTATTACCTTATTATCTATTCTTCTTTTCTTTATAAAGCACGTGATCAAGAATTTAGTTAAATTGATTCATTTGGTGTAGTTTTGATTTTATCTTCTTGTCCCTTCTAGGTATAGGTTGATTTCTTTTACTTTTGATTATCGTTGAAATCCTATAACTATGTGTAACTTAGTTAGCTGATATATTGATAAACAATGTTATTCTGATAGTGTAATCATATAATAGCTGCTTTCAAAATTTATGGGTCTAAACCATTTTTTTAATTATTATTATTATTGTTATCATGAAATTAGCAAATTTAAAGATAAATAAAAATTTATTCGAGAAAAAGGTCTGAACATTTGAAAACCAAAACATTATATGCCTTCCTTTATTTATATATATATATATATATATATATATATATATATATATATATATATTTTGTTATGGTTGTTTTCCTTAACTAAACATGTTAATCTATTTATAATATAGTATAATCCGTAATTTTTATACGTGATTCTGAAAATATGAATAACTTTTTAATTAATTGTAAGAGGTTATAGGTTTTATTAATAATTATAGACTGTTGTTATTAGAATTTGCACTCAAACTGGGCCATTAGATAATTTTAAATTATATATATATATATATATATATATATATATATATAATAATTTTGATTTTATTTCAAGATTTATCTGAGGACCAAAATTAATTCAGATGTAATATTTACATTGATGTTAAATTTTGTTATTAATAAGTATTTTAAATTTTAAATTTCACTTGAAATCAATTTTACAAATATTTATTTAAAGCGTTAAGAAAAGGGAGAAAACACAATTATTTGGGTAATATATTTAATGATGATAATAACGTAGGTTTAGCCCCTACGCATTTAGAATAATTAAAAACATTTAAAATTTTGTTTTGAAGGTACAGACAAAAAAACCTAAAGAGGTGAGAAAAGATTCCCTTAACTACCGAGGTGGGACTCCGTCAAGGCCTAACGTAGGTTAGTAGGGTGGACACAAAGGATGCACAAAAACAGTAATAACAATAATATCTTAATAAAGGAATAGATGACATGTATTATTCATCGATGGATCTGCATAAATAAGACACAGAAGACCGAAAACGACGAAGAAGGTTCCGAAATAAACATATTTTTATTTATTTAGGGTTTCCTATTACATTGATATATGTGTAGAAAGTGAGATTCCTCTACTCTTACAGTTTGTCTCATTGCTTAACTACAACCATGTAGTGGCTAAGTAGCAGCCAGGTCTAGGTAGCAGAAATCATGCAATTTGGCTACAACTTTACCCTATCCATGGATTATATTGTAATCTCTGGAACCAATGGCTTTCCTACTACTTTCTCTCTAGATAGAAATCCAAGCTAGAAGAGAGAATTATTTTAAACAGGAATCTTTCATCTAAAGAAAAAACAATGAGACATGGGCAAACAAAAACAGTGTTTTTGTTCATGGTTTTGCTTCTGATAATTCGCTTTTCATGTATGACGTTGAAGAGGGATGTCTTTAGTTGTTTGTTAAGGTAAGAACAATGTTTACGTGTATATATTTATTCTATTTTGGATTTTAATTGCATAAAATCTAGGGATAAGTCAGAATCATACTTTGGAGTTATTAAAATATTCGCAGTCACAGTTTTCTTCGTAAAATCATACACATACTAAAATAAGATTTTTTTAGTTTGCCATTTTGAAAGAATATTTTGATTTTCATGAAGCAAAACACTGTTAAACGAATGAAAGAATGGTATGAGGTTGAATTTTAAAGGTGACAGATTTTCTTGACCCAAATGGATGTTGGATTGTGCACAGATAAATTAATATGCAGACAACAAAATAACTTCATAATCTTATATTGTACATGAGAAAACATAATTCATGAAATTAGTGAGTTGAAGGCTAAAGATGAAACTTAAGAAAACATACAACGATTTTTAACATCACCAGTCAAACAATCACTTACATGCAACTTCCTTCCATAAAAAAAGGTTAAGTAACAACGCAATTGAAGATACAAAAGCAAGAACAGGTAAAAAATAACATAGGAATCCAGTCCGGAGTAAAAAGGATTGGTTCATCCTTGACATAACAGGGAATCAAAAATTGAAAAAAAATCTTTTAAAAGAGGTACTACTGAAGATTGAGCTCCAACAATGTCTCCGGGTCAACCGGTATGCTGGTATTAGCTGCGAAAAATGTACTGATGACAGCTAAACTTCTGCCCTCCACACATTTTCCTATTTCCTGTCCCATCAATGATGTAGACAGTAATGTTTTTGAGAAAAAAAAATTAGAGTTTCGTCAGTAACAATATTTGTTAGTTAGATTCTTGTTAAGATTTTGTTGGGTACGGTGAAAAATATGGGAGAAGAGAAGTATTAAAGTAAGATAAAAAGATAATGAGAAAAAAATAAAGATAGTGTGTTTGGTTAAAAAAAATTATAAAAGTAAAATAGTAAATATTTATATATTAATAACATCGAACCACGATATTTTATATTCATTTATGTGAATAATGAAAGTGTTAGACTGACGATATTTATTTTTTATATACAGTTTTTTCATTTTGTAATATTAAATTTATTAACATTCAATTCACTTATGAAATATACCTGAGTAATCTAGGTTTGCTCATGATTTCACCTGAGTAATCTAGGTTTGCTCATGATTTCACCTGAGTAATCTAGGTTTACTCATGATTTCAGCAATTATAATTTTAGAGACTCGGAGAAAATGTTGAAAAATTGCATAATAGAAACAAGTCCCACATCGCTTGGTCATATGTATCCATCTAACATATAGTAAATAAATAAGAGAAAACTTCCAATGTTAAAAGTTGCCTTAAACTAATGAGTAAGGAAAACAAAGCAAGCAGTGGGAGCTGCTTGCAGCACTCATCCTGATGTGCAGTAATTTTTGAAGGGTTAATAGGCTGGCCGTGAGTTGACGCTGCTTACTTTTGCAGAACTCTCACAGTGGCGGGCCTCCCTATCCCACAAACACATTCATATAAATGACAAGATGTATGTAATAACAACAATTACACATTAGAATTATGATTCTACTATGAATAGTATAAAATGTCAATAATTTAACAAATATACATACCAATAAATTAAATTTAATTAATAACAAAATTCATTATAAATATTCACCAGCATAATAATTATTAACCTACAATAATTAATGACAAAATTTATTGTGTAAATAAGGGCATTTACACGAAAAGAAAGACTGATTAAAAAGTAAAGAAAAAGCCTTAGCTAAAATCAAATACATAACTCAAAGATTCAATTTAAATCTACATAGTTTCGCATATTTAAAATATTGCACATGTAATAAATCAAAGAGTTAATTCAGATCTAATTTTTCACACGTTAAAAATATGTTGCACATGTAATGAAAAAGAATCTGGTTGATGAAATGGAGGAATTGTTGTCTTCAACTTGACAAAGAAAACAAAAACAGTGGGAACTGTTTACTCATCTATGTTTAATTACATAACCCCAGAATAGTGTCTAAGCACATGTGAAAACAAAATAAAATTTGCCACGGAGCAAGAAAATAACAAGAGTGTTGTGTTTCTTTGAAATAAAAATAAAAATAAAATCAAACTCCTGCATTTCAAAATAGGATTGAAGTTCGTTTCAATGCAACGAGAAGTATAAGATCATGGCAAATACAACAAATCAACTAATTTTTTTTTATAACAGTGAAAATCAATATTGTCAAAATATAAAAGAATATACCTATATGCTAACTCAAACTCATCTGTCCTAATTCAAACTCTCAAAATCGACTCAATCAAACTGTGCTCCAATTGCACAAAACAAAAATTCTCCAAGCTAAACTATCTCATTTGCAAGCTCCTCCGTTAACAACTTAACTATCTCTGTAACAATATCTTCAACCTCTTGAACAAGTTCTATCCACCTAATTTCCCCTCCAACCATATTGTCTGCAAACTCATTACTAGATTTCTCTTCTTCTGCAGCAAGCAACGCCCACATTTCCTCTTCAATCATGTCCTGGCTTGGTTCAGCATTCAACCTTCTTGAGATGGACTTTTCCCACGTAGGAATGTACAAATATGGCTCGAGAATTTGTGACAGCCCTATGTTAATGCGATCAAAGAGCAGTTTCCTTTGAGATCTCTTCCAAATTTGCTGCTCACCAAATTTCTTTTCCAGGATTTCAAAGACAGAAGGGTTCATTGGACATTCTGAAGAGTGCCATGTAGAAAAGTCTGTAAACAAGCTCCTATTACTTATACCAGCCTCTGTTAAGACCTCAACAACATACGAGAAATCCCTACTTTCTTCAGCTCGATACAATTCTGGTGTGTCTTTCTTTCCTTCAGAGTTATGTGCATATTCACTCTCACAATCTTCATCACTTGAAACATTCAAACCAAATGCTTCATCCTCCACTTCAGAGGAATCTGAAATGAAAGAATGATGGTAAATTCATAATTAATACCACACAAACAGGAAGGACACTAAAAAATGAAGCATTGACTTCAAATAAAGTTGATGATGTGTAGAACAATTGACTCAACATAATCATTACATACCATACACATGATCGTCACTTTCGTAGTCCGATTGAATGTCTTCTCCAAATAAGTGATCCAAAACAGAAATTGGATTAGGTTCATGTGACTCCTCAAAACTACCAAAGAAATCTGGGTCAACCTCGGAGCAAAGAGAATGAACAGAATCTTCTTGAAAATCTGATCTATCCTGTAGTTTAAGAAAAATACAAAAACAAACTATTCAATTCAACTAAGGACATTACAAAATGTTACTTGAGAAGGAAACTAATGATGCAACGTTAACTTCTAAAACTAAACTTCACCAAAATTGACATGATAACTAGCACTCAGCAATCGAAGTTTATGCTCAATGTCTCTGATACTGAAATTATAAATTTTACATATTACCTGAGATCTATAGTTCACTTATTTCAATAATTTGCTGCACATAACAAGTGCTCATTCATTCATCCAATAGTATTTGCTTATGTCACAAAAGACCAAGGCAAAACTGTGTGCCTTCTGTTGATTGTTTCATGAAAACTTGTGATAAAATAATGGAAAGCTGTATTATAAAATTTAGTCGTAAATATTTCGCTTTTTGCATTTTAATTATGTTCTGCATCAATGGAGTATAACAAAAAGATAATACAATAAAATAAAAGTTCACTCAATATCTAGCTTCAATATATTCAAAAGGGTAACCCAAATACAGAGGTGTTAATTCAAAAGACAACAATACTTTAACTATTACGAACTGATTTTTCCACCTTGATTTTGACAAGTTAGTGAGTATTGGGACTTTGAGCCGAAGGCATTAGAACAATTAGAAATACCACGTATGAATTGCAAGGAGAAAAAGAACATAAAAAGGGATGGCCCTGTGTAAAAGAGTCCAATCATCGTGTGCGCCCTATGAAGATTTGAGTTACACAGCCTGGTAGCCACAGACAAGGTGGGTATTTTACACTGCTTGAATTTATGATTATTAGGCCACAAGGCAACAGTTAAACTACCTTCAACAGAAGTTTAGACACCTCCACTACATTCAACAGGAAACTTCCACAGGTAATCCGTTAATAGTCAATGAGGAAATAAAACTTCTAATACTTCTTATGCATTTAAGGACTAAATTTCAGCAAGCCACATGCATTGCTCTATGGTATTTCATTCATTCATAAAGTGATAAAATGTAGAGCGCACATGATACAATAATATTACTCTGTTATGGAAAATCCATGGCACCTAAAACGTTGATTGAATATTCAACTAACTGGAAAAATATGAATAATTTCAAACATTTTGAGAGAGAAAAAACAAACCTGTTGCTTTGAAGCATATGAAGTATGATTCAAACAATCAATTTCTTGTGAAAAAATGAAGGCTGTTGTTGATTCAGATTGATGTTTAGTTGGACTATGTGTCCTGTCAACAACCTCAGCTGTTGCATCAGATACCAAGAATTCAACTGATGAATCAGGACACACAACATTTTGCTTACACAAATTATTCTCTTCATTCATTTTGTTCATCACCTCTTCATTCATTAAGCATCTCTCTTGTAACATCTGTCTGTCCATAAAGGTGGGAGAAGGACTAGCACTTGTCAATTGAGGAGGCATAGTTATCTTATCAAACAAAATGTTCTCGTAGCATCCCTTTTCCGACTTATGACCAATACAATTCTCTTCGGTATGATCACTAGAAGGGAATTTCTCACCGTCACAACTGAGGTTCACATTTTCCAAACATATTTTCTGGTCAATATTTTGATTCTTTGACTTCCATGATGACCAAATTCCATATGCATTTTTTCTCAAACCCCAATATCTCTGAAACAAGATATCCTGATTTATAGTTCCACAATCATCAGCAATAACAGAAGCTGCACAGAGAGGTCTTGGGATTCTTCTAGCAAAGCTATAATTAACACCAGCCTTACATCTCGTTTTAATTCTATCATTACTGTATCCACTTCGATGAGTCAAGTTTCTTGCTCCATTTCCATGTTCAGAAATCATAGCCCATTGATTATATGTACAGTCTTGACCACACCGTCCAAGTTCATGAACCTTTTCAGTGATATCCCTCTGTTCCAAAGTTTTCCTCCTGGCTTGAGAGCCTATATACGGACCATCTGAACAGAAGATTGGGGAATTGCATTGGATCTCATTAGCTGAAATATTTGAAGCAGGCTTCAGCATATTGGCAAATACTTCATTTCCTTTGAAAAATGAATTTGAAGCAGTATCTAAGACCCTATTTGTAACATTTCCAGATTGCATAGAAATCTGCTCTGAAATTTTACTAAAACATCTTGAACTTGGCTTACCAAAATTCATGTGATAGGATATTTTCTTCCTATCTCGCATTTCATGATAGACGTTCATGCTTTCAGGATAAAATATCTCTCGGAGCATCCCATGAGCCAAATGAGAATTTTGGCTAGAACTAGGATTCTCTTTCCCATTTCCTTTTGATGGGTTATGATGCTTACCTCGCCTGAGTGCTTTGACCACTTTTAAAACATCTTCAGATTCATCCTTTTCATTAGTATTCATTCCAAAATAATCATGCTGACGAGATGAACGCTTCTTTCTGACACCAATGGAAGCAACTTTCTGCAGGTAGTTCTCAGAGAGCACTTTCTGTATATCTCTGACAGGATGTTGGGCAGGCACTTTATCAAGACCCATTAACTGTAAAATCACACTTGCTGCTTCTTTAGACTCCATCTTGCAATAATTACTCTACAAGATAAGTTGATGCACTGGAACTCGAACACTCCCTAAAATTCCATGAAACTGTCTGCAATAAATCCCAATAGCTGTTACAAAAAACAAAATTGATGAATACATGCTGATAAGTGATAAATATAATCTATTCGGTCATTTCTTTCCTTTTCAAACAGTGAACTCGAAGAGTCAGATAACAACCTTCTATATTACATTCCATCTGTTGTAGATCAAAAGGAACAAAAAAATAGGGGGTGGGGAATCTAGAGCTTCCTATGCTTCAACACTTCTTGGGAATGATCAATGCTTTATCAGCGACAGAGGCCTAGAAAAAGTAATAAAAAGGAATTAAAGCAAGTTCAATTTCAGAAAAATAAATAAAAATAAAATCTCACGTGGGAGAGACACATAACCTAGACTATATTCGTCGGCATAAACGTCTAACAAAATCAATACTGCAAAAGTGGAAGAAAAAAACTGCAGCAACTAGAGAGATTCGTCTAAAATTGAAGCATCCCATAAGTTGAAACCTATTAATTAACTCTTTCGATTTATCAGCAAAACAAACATAAAAAACTAAAATAATAAAAATACGATCGATCATATTGGTATAAAAGCATACATGAGGAAGAAATCATGAAATCAACGTGTCAATGAATCTGATTCAACTGTGTCCAATCACTGACAGCAAAGTAACAGTGTAAAGCACTCAGGTAATCAAAACAAGGTGTGATTATTGAAAGAGCCAACCCAAAAAAGAAATGATAAGGTTCTTCAATTCATAGAAACACAGAAGGAAACAAAATGATTCTGATCCAACTAAAAACAAAATAAAAAATAGAAACCTTTGATAAAAGCACAAGCAAATCAAGATCTTGACTTCACAAACCTCACCCTCAATAAAAGACTCATGGATCATCATCACCACGACCATCATCATCAATCAAGATTCAAGAGGGAGAAGTAGAATAAGATGGTGAAACAGAAGATGTATATGCAAAAACAAGAAGGGGTGGCGGAAGAAAGAACCTTCTCTGACAATCCTTTGAAAAGCAAAACCTTTTTGGATTATGCGGGTGCCCATAATCCAAAAACTTCATTGCATGCAACAAAACCAATCAGAGTCGCCTCCTTTTGCAAGAAAGCAAATTGGGGTATTAAATTCACGAATCATTGCAACCCAATTTTTGTTAAACCATGAAGGAAAATGACACAGCCGACATAAACATCAATCAGGTCAAGATAGATGTGGATTTTCGCTTAAAAGGGATACGTAACAACTATTCCTCATGGAACCTCAGGGTAAGTAAAATATTGGTATTTAATTTCGAAAAATTGAATTAAAAAAATTGGAATGACAGAGACAATAATTAATGATCAAGAAGTGGGCTCATGATTTTTATTATTTTATTTTTTGTTTATTGATTTAAGTTAGTTTTGTCGCGTGTGGATTTACGCGCCAACTGTAATTGTCTTGTTTGCATATTTGGCGCCCTGAAGATATCATTGATTACTGTAAAAGTGTCGAGTTCACTAATCACTTTACCTTCCGCAATTCTAAACCTAAAGTGCATACCAAATATAATCTGAAGATCCATGCTTTACATGCATACTTTTTTTACTTTTATATATTTTTAATTAAAATTATATAGTTATTGTGTATAAATGTTTTTTTTTTAATAGACCAATTTTTCAAACTATGTAGTTCCTGAAACTCTAGAACATTTAATGAGAATCTAGAGTTTAGTGGTATATTAATTAATGATCAAGTTCATAAAAAAATAGTTGCTTAAGCTTATTTATGTAAAATCACTTGGAAATCCAAACAGGTTCTTTCAATTTGAAATAATATTATTAAAATTCTCTATAATTTCAAATATTATTATATTTTTTCTATTTTTTGCAACAATTTATTTAGGAACATATAAATTTTAAAATGCAGGTAATTTGTTTCTGGTAGTTGATAACTGAGTTCATTGAACAAAGGAATAAAATTTGATACTTAAAAACTGAAAATTATTTAAAGAAATTTTTATGAATAACATATATTATTTTAATATAAATTTTAAATACTATTTAAAATATAAAAATAAATAAATTATGAGGTTCATATTAAATAATATATTTTATTTTTTTATAAATGAATACATTCTTACTGTGGGAGGAGTTGTAAACATATAAATATAATGATGTGAGATCTTAAAATAAATAAAAATAAAAAATCTAAATGTATATAAATCGACCATATTAATTTATATTAGTTGTTATTTGACGCTTTCATTTTTATTTTTACTGTTTCACACTTCCTCTAATTAGAATTGTGAAGACTGATGAACTGGTTTTAATTCAATAAATTTATGTTAGATCATCCATCTAACACATTTTTGTAAAAAAATAGGTTGTGTTTTTTTTTTATTTCTTAAAAAATGTTTTAAAAATAAAATGTTTTCTCAAATTGATAAAAATAATTTTAATATTAAATATTCAAAAATATTAATAAAATAATTATGGAACACAACGGAATCAGAAAATATTGGAACACTAGTCATGATTGTTATGATGATGATGATTAGGTTTGGTTCTCATTGAATTATTTTGCGGCCCCACGCGCACTATGCAGCGAGTGTGAAAAGCGATTTAAAAAAAATATCACTTTTCTTTGCCTAAATAACTTGGAAACATTAGTTGCCGTCCATTATAATTAGTGGAGTTGTTTTTCTTCAATGAATTTATTCATTAAAACATGATTTCACACTTTTTATTTTTTATGATTTTATTTATTTATTTATTTATTTTTGTCTTAGCGTAGGTATGAAACAAGACTATTTAGAATTTAATTTTATGTTTTTGAATCAATCTTTTCATGAAAATAGTGGAGTAGGGTTTCTTTCTACTGAAGTAACGGTGTGACAGTGTCTATAAAATGAAGTTTAAAGAATATTAAATTAATATAGAAGATCATTTTGTTATGAATTTCATTTTATGTAATAGAAGTAGGGTTATTATATCTTCTATATTAATTTAAAATAGAAGATATTACTTATATTAAAAATAAATATATAACTTTTTTAAATTTTTTCTTATACTTTAATTATTAAGATAAATTAATATATTAAATCATTACATTAAAAAAATATTATAATAATAAAAAATCTCATATTAAAAAGTTAAACTTTGATTATTTATTTATTTGTTTCATATCCAATTCTATAAACTTTACCATAGGCTACCAATAACATGAAAGAGGAAAAGCAAAGTCACTAGGGTTACTTGTAAAAATTTTTCAATCAATAAAGTTTAAGAAAATAATATTTTAACAACCCAAATTCCATACAACTCTTATAAACAACTCTCTTTTAATATTATAATAATAATTTTAATTTTTTTATTAAATCATTTAATAAATTATTATATTAATAAAAGTGAGTTGTTTAAAAGGTTATATGGTTTTTGGTTGTCAAAATATCACCACTCTTTCGTATTCCATGACGTCATCAAATTTTTTAGTATAAATTTAGAAAATCACATGTTAAAATAACATTTATCTCTTTATATTTAAATAATAAAATAATATTCACATTTCTTATAATTTTAAATAAATATTTAACCTTTTTTAATAAATAAAATCTATATATTTTATAAAATAAAACACATTTTTTAATTTTATTTATATAATAAATTTTTTTCTAAATTTTGTCTTAATCTAAAGTGCATTGCTTAAATTCTTAGAAAGTGATATTTGGACAACTAAATAAAAAAAATATTACGTATAGACTACCATATTATATTAATATAATAATAAAAATATATAGTAAATAAACTCATGATTACAAATAAAGATAAATGATTATTCATTGTTTGTTTAATTGTTAATTGTGAAAATATTTGTATCCTTCTTAGAAATTTGTGATAACTAAGTTCCGATCATTTCATTAAAAAAAAAGGACGATTTTTTTTTCCATCTTTCATGTCCGTTATTATTTGTGCATCATTGTTAATATACTTTTACTCTAAAATTTAAAATAATTAATCATTTTGTTGTCTAACTTTAAAAGGAATCAAAAATATTTATTTGGTTACAAAATTTTGAGAGACAAAAATGATTGAAAATTCAAAATAAAGGAATTAGAAATAGAACTAAGTTCTACGCTTTTTATTTTTCCGACAAAGGTCATGTACTGCTAATAATTAGTAAATAAATGTGACTAAATGGGCCTTAAAGATTCAATCTGTACCTCCAAAACAGGCCACTTTACAATGTGGCCCAAAAATTATATGAGGCCAACATTTATTAATAAGTGAACCAGACCACCTTTTAACTGGGCCTCTAAGTTCAACTCAATAGAGATTATAATATAGGGATGTTGCTTCTAGCACCTTCATAGGTTTTTTTCTACATCCTCGTAATTAAATAAATCATATTTTACTTTTCATGTTTATTTATTCGGTTTAATATTCTGAAAATATATTTTAAATTAACCATTCTAAAATATATTTTTGGATTCACTCTTTTAGAAATACAGTAAAAATTGAATATTTTGAAACTATTTTTAAAATTAAAAATACATTTTAAGTGTAGATCTTTATATTCTGGCGGTTTATTTTTTATTAAATAAATACAAAATATTAATAATTTCTTATTTAATAAATTTTAATGGAAATGGAATCTCAAAAAAAAGAAATTACAAGAATTATGAAAGAGTAGAAAAAATAATTTAAGATTCCAAATAAAAATGAGTAAAAATATTTCAATCATTTTATACGAATAACAGATATACACAGGAAAAAGAAATGTAAATACAGAACTAAAATAGTCATTTATTTTGGGCCATCTAACTTTAGGCCATATTTGATATTTTCATTAAAAGAATATTTTAACATAATGTTTGGATTGGGTAAGGATAAAAATGGGATAAATTTATATATTTTTTGAGCAAAGGATGAGAAGAGATAGAAGAGGTGAGTGAGGGAGAGGAAAGTAGTGTGATTTCCAAAGCATGCATAGTTAATAGTTATTATCCCAAAACGACAATTCATCCAAAAGTGTGGCCACGTGAGTATGGTTGCGCCGCCTGAAAGAGCAGCACAGCATGCAACAACAAAAGAAAAGAAACACCACGCCTTCTTCTTCTCTCTCTCTCTCTCTTCTTCCATTCTCTTTTCTTCGCCACCAACTGCCCCTTTGTCACTGCTTTAGGTGAACACCCTCTTCCCCTCTATCCTATTCCTATTCCTACCCTACTCTTCCATTCTCACTTTCTTCTTTTATCCCACGCATATTTTACGTTTCAAAGTATTCATAATAGTCTGAAAGAATATGGTGCATGCATGAAATATAGCCCATTTATGAAAAATATATTTAGCATTGGTTTAACCTGTTTGTGGGTTTGTTTATATAATGTTCTTTTAGAATCTTTCATTGATGTCAAATAATAGAATATAATGATGATGATGTGAGAATGATAATGAAAGGAGAGATGATGGTGATGAAACGAAAGCATGTGTTGACTATTGGGAACGGAAGGCAATGCATGGATAAAGGGAAAGACAGAAACATTATCAGAGAATGGTAATGTCAGAATGAAGATGCAAAATGTGGTTGCTTGGTCGACAACAAGGACGCACATCCTAATTCACTTTTTCCACCAAAAGTCCTGCCTATGATGTCTCTAACCTTCGTTACAAATCTTGTTTTCATCTCCTTTTTCTTTTCTTCTTTCATATACCTATATTATTACATATCTTTTATGGAAGAATTATGGCCTTTTTATTTACTTCAATTTTAAATAGTTATTGTGTTGTTGTTGTTAAAGATTTTATTTTCTTTTTATATATATTAGAAATTTCAAATTAATTATAAATATATACATAGACATTCTCGTTCTGATGTTGTATAATTATTTCCTGGAATATGAATTTCTCTTCTGGCAACAAACAAGTTCCACTGTTTATATTCTTGCTTTACAAAACATTCTCAAAACTTCACAAACATTTTCAAAGCTTTGCCGCTGGTCAGAAACACGTCCAAAAAAAATGAATGAAGAGAGTGTGTCTAGTAAATATGGCGAATCCAACAGAGAAAAAATAATGTGAAAACAGTATTAACTTTTTGTAAGAATAATACACTGTAGCACTGTGGTATATATTGGTAAAGAAAGTTTTGAGAAATTCCAAGTAGTATGCATTTATCTCTGAATATTTTAATGCTTCTGCTTTATCTTTCTTTGGGTCTCACTCAATCTTGGACAAACATCCATCCGGCTCTAAATGCTCAGAAATCTGCTACGTAGATTAAGCATTTGCTTTTTGGTTTTTCTGCCTTGTGATGTGTATGTATGTAGGAATGCTTTTTCAGTTCACACTGTGTGACAAACATGCATGCATGCATTCTTCTCCTCGATCGAGTAAGCAATGGAACAAGCATTACGGCTAGAATACCATGGAAGGTATAAATCACAGCATAGTAGACACAACAGACAACACTCCCTCTGAATCAGAGACACGCCCTGCGACAACAACAGACAAATAAAGCACCCCTTCTTCAATTCTTCCACTTTTTCAAACCATCCTTCACCCTTATAAAAACCATGCCTCATCTTCCCACTTCTCTCATTCTATTCACTCTCACATTAGTATAGTTACTTCAAGAAACAGTTCCGACTAGCACACACTTGATTGGTTTTTTAGGGAGAACAATGCATTACCAAGTGGAGTCTGCTGCTGCTGCATGGAGCTACCTCATGAGGGTTCGAAGCATGGAAGAGGACCAAATGGAGAGAGTGTTGAGGCTGGCCTCTCAGAGTGCTGTGGTGATTTTCAGTGTGAGTAGCTGTTGCATGTGCCATGCAATGAAGAGGCTCTTCTGTGGCATGGGGGTTAATCCCACTGTTCATGAGCTGGACCAAGACCCCAAAGGGAAAGACATGGAGAGAGCATTGATGAGGCTTCTTGGAAATGGAATCAACTCCACTGCTGCAGTTGTTCCTGTGGTGTTCATTGGAGGGAAGCTTGTTGGGTCCATGGACAGGGTTTTGGCTTTCCACATCAGTGGCACCCTTGTCCCTCTTCTCAAACAAGCTGGAGCTTTGTGGCTTTGAAACTAATCAAGACGAAAACAAAGCACTGTCTTGTCTTAATTTGTTTTTACTCAAGACATCAACTGCTTTGATTTTCTCCGGGAAATCATCCAACAATATTGTTATATGCATACATGGTATTTTATCAGAATTACTAGCCAACTAGATTGCCTGCAAGGGAACAAGAACAGTACGAAAAATTAACCTATCAATTTTCTTGATTTGGCTTTTGTAGTTTGTAGTTTGTGCGTGCTTTGTAGTTTGTATAAAGAAGCACATGTATTATGGAAATGAGCAAGAAGTTTTGGTGAAACAATATCCATAATTCTAGCCAATTTTCTTGTTAGGGTAAAAGTTAACTGATAATTTAACTGCACGTCACATGTAAAATGATCTGAGACCAGAGACACGCGACAATTTTTCGCCTAGTGTACCTAAATGTTTACTCTTTGGAGACCATTTTCAGTAAAAGAATAAAATAGTGTTTGTGTATAGTTTAATTTGTATATCCATCTATCTTTGCTTCATTGAAGGGAAGAGATTATGGTCATTAACGGGAACAAAGTCTCTGATAATATGTATCTGTATATGTTAAAAAAATTATAATATTTTTACAGCTTTGCACGTAAAATAAAGTGAGACACAACATGTTTCAACTAAGGTACAATAAAATGAATGTAAAAATAGTGATCTAAGAAAGGGTGCAGGTTTTGAAATTGTTCTTGCAAGACCGATTGGTGTTTTGATCGAAGTTAAAGTAAAACTGCCCCTACTATTACGTTTGCAATTTTGTGGAGATAAAGTCTTTTATTAGCTGCTATATATAATTGCTCAATAAGTAAGTAATAAACAGTGTTTCAATCTTTCTATGATGTTGCATTTAGGTCATTCATTCCATGTGCAAAGACGCCAGTGAGACTTAAACTGGTGTTTGTTTTGAAGTCTACTAATTTCTGAATTTGCTTCCCTATGCTTTTATCAGTGTCAAAGAAATTTGAACATCTCGTTACCCCCTCTCATTGTGTGGATATAATTTCATATATGTGGCTGAGTCCATAGACCAAGTGAATGTACTGTCACAGTTGTTGGGGGATTCTCTTCAATGTTCACTCATTAGAGCAAACACGTTAACAGTGGCTTGTTTCTGTTCTTTGTCCCATGTGCTAATATTTTTTCAGGCTTGCTGTTTCTAGGGATATTCAGTGTCCAATGTATCAGAGTCATATCTTGAGCTCGATATATGCTTGTCACCAATCACCGTGTCATGTCATCTGAGTAGGCATACTTTTGTATGCTTAGGTTTTACTTTTCTTCATGAAGATCTAATCAGCAACACCTCAACCAAATTAATACAGGGAACAATCGAGTGTTTCACTGTAAATCGAATGGATATATGTCGGTCTACTTGCTTTGCTAGTTAGATTAGGTAACTTTATTTTCAGAGTAGTTTCTCTTCATCTTTATCTCAACAAAATATGTTACATATATGTACTTTTTCTTTCAAATTGAAGTAATGATATCAGTTAATGCGCTGAACTAATTAAGTCTATATGCTAACCCAATAGATTAGTACACTAATTAGACACTCGAACCTCACATGTTATAACAACTCTATATGCATCAGAAAGGTTAATAACAATTACAATATTGTGCATAAATTAGTCATTAATTTAGAGGATATGGAAAAATCCGTGACAAGAAAAATAAAAATAATAAAGTCTACATGATACCCTTTATAGTTAGAGTCCATCTTTTGTCAGAGTTCTTTTAAGTTTATATAAAGTATGATAAAAAGTAACTACATTTGGTTGGGGTAAGTCATGCCCTTGTAAAGATTAAAATGTACAGATTATAATTATCATAATTACAAGCATCTGGGGGGCAAAAAGGTTGAGTAAAATAAAATTAAAAAGGAGGTTGGGAGAGGGGGAAATAAAGCACCTACTTGTAATAAAATCCTTGATGACTCATGAAATGAACTTTGATGATGAAGATCTAAAGTATTAAACCATGGGTGGGTGCTGCTCTGATTCCACAGGAGTGGGTGCAGGTGCAATCTTGGTGCTACTATTCACTATATAAACCATGCCACAACCAGAAAATATGGCAAAGACAACAAAAGCAAAGGAAAATATTAAGAAAAGAGCAATGCCAAATCCTGCCCACAGAACTTCTTGCTGTTTTCTAGCTCTATTGTTCATGACAGCTGCCAATTCCATGACGAAATGGATCATCAGGATGAAGCAGAAACAAACCATGAGTGCACTAAAGAAAAGAGAAAGTACAAGAATAGCCATTTTTTCTCTGCCATTCAACATGTTTTTGTGTCTACAGAAGAAAGAAGATAAGAAATGAAGTGAGAGAAAAGGAAAAATATTTTGTTCCTGTTTTGTTTTGTTTGGCTTTCTATTGTCGATGAGAGGTGTGAAAAATTATGATAATATAGTTATTATATATGTCACCATTGTTCCTGCAAATGCAGGACTTTGGAGTAATTTTGATAGATCAATTATTATTATTATTTTTTTTAAGTTTACATCTATTTTCTATCATCATCTTTAAATTAGAAAATATTAACTATTACATGACAAATTGTTTTGTATATAAAATATATTTAAGCGTGTATTTAATTGAGATTTAAAAAATTATTAAAAGACTTTTTTCTAAGTAAAAAGTAATGTGCTATCAATATTTTTAAGCATTTTTTTCATAAACAATCTTTTAAAATCTGAAATAAATAAAATCTTATATTCTTAGAATCTTAATTCAGCATCACCAATAATGAAGTTATAACAATCTCTTAGCATTTGTCGATGACATATAATTTACATAACCTTTTTCTATATATCCATAATACTCTAGAGCTTAATGAAATTTGATGAAAATTATAAGAACAATATAAACTTATGACGGTGTGTATAGATTTTGTATGGTTTAAAATATATTTATTATTGAATTTAACCCTGGTCGGTTTATATAAATAATATATGTAGGGTCACGTATTAAAAAAAAAATTAAATATATATAACTTATAGCTGATATTGAGGGGGCAAATTATATTCCACGCAAAAGCTTTTGGGAAAAGCTGTGATGTAAACGTACTTTTTTTTTTTGTGCTTAGCGTGGTTAGATAAAATATTAAAGCGTCACGAAAAATAAAATATATTATGATGGAATTAGTGACGGAAATATATTTTAGTAAAGTTTTCTTCTGTATGAATGGAAGCTTCTTCTTTTTTTTTTATCTTTTTTTTTTCATACATCTGATATATGATATTATGAGTTTCTCATGTGCCAAGATTTGTGTAGAAAGTGTATGTTACACAAAGCTGTAATGGGTCACTTCAGACATAAACCCTAATTTTTAAGGACAGTCCTATGGTGTCCTACGCACGTGATTTGATCCAGTGGCAAAGATACAGGAAGAGGCTAAAAGATAGACATGAACTTTAAAGCTTTTTCCTTACTATTTTGTGTCTGTTTTCTTGGCTTTAATAACTATTCTCTAATGCAATTATGATTAAACTATTAAACACTCAATAAATCTCTCAACCAATTCAATGAACAATTTTTGAAAAGAAAGGGTTGAGGTTGATAGATAATATATAATTTCTGGTTAAAATCACACATCCATGTTTTCTGCCAAATCTTGTTTTTTTCATTTTTCTAATTTATTCAACCAATGATAATGCTTAGTTTAAATTCTATCTGATATCATAGTAGTTGTGATTATAGAATCAATATTGCAAATAATCACTTTTAAGTTCCCTCAATTGGTAGCAACACCAATGTAATTTACCAAAAAACTCAACAATTCAGTCATTTGACGCATTTCTATTGGCACCACCAAATCCAGTTCTCCCCAATAAACTTCCCTCCACATTAAAACAATTCATTCATGGACAATTTATTAGTCGGATTCATGGACTTTCCAACACCAAAATATTCCAAAATGCCGGTGCAAAGAATCTTCCACCTGCGGAACAATCACATAAAACTGCGCTTCCTACAACATGAAGCCGTTATCCTGTGTAAAGTTGAGTTGAGAATAAGAACTTCATCCTATTTTACATTGTGTACGGCGATGTGGGACTTGATCTATTTACTCGGCCGATGTGGGACTTTGAAACTAAGAAGAGGTGGAAAAATGAAAAAAAAATGAAAAACCTACTCTTTATTATGTAATCTCGGGGGATGTGGGACTAGAAATGTTGGTGGCAACCTGCTATGTTCGTGTAATTTTTTTGTTATCAATGGTCCCTGTCTCAAAGACATTGTGCATTATCTGAGTAGGATTTGAAGCGATAACCATAAGAACTATGTTGGAATCCATAGAGCTTAGAGCTGTAAATACTTGAGAAGTAAGCGTGATTGTCAATCTTGGGAACTCACTGTAGATACAAAGCATGTTGGTGGTTGCTTTCGAATTTAGCATAAAGAAATTGCTGGAAGAAAGAAATAGCTTCCTTCCCTTTTCAAAACATCCTCCTGAGTGAACCATACACGGTTAATAGACATTCTGTTTCTTCTTCTGTTTGTCTGCATGTGAAAATATCTCATGTTTCTATTCTCATAATAACCCAATTTACATGGGATTTTTTGTAGCATATCATTTCCTCTAATTATTTGAGGTAGTTTTTGCCATGTTAGCGACTAATGCCACGTGGTATCGTTAATTTATATGGAAAAAATTGTCCTAAATCAGAATAACACGTATGACAATATTTTTATAATAACAAATACATGATTGTTTCTTTTTTCTTTCTTTTTTTCCTTTTGTCTTTCTTAAATTGTGTGAAATGTTATATAAAAAAATTACATGGGAGCATATCCATGTGTATACCATGACTTAAGTAAGAATCACGGGTCACGTTCTGATTCTTATCCATTTCTTGAGGCAGAAAAGAGTCGAACGTCAACACCACAGGTGCATGTTCCAACCTATGCATGCCAACTTGATTGATTCTTCATCTGGGACACTTTGAGAAGGTGAATATGGAAGTAGAGATCAAGCTTCGTCTCCCAGACTCAGCCACTCACCAAAAACTCTCCAACGTACTTGCTCCTTTCCACACCAAAACCTTAATCCAAGAAAACATCTTCTTCGATGGCTCAAACAAGGAACTGACTTCCAACCTTTCTGTTCTCCGAATCCGCTTCTACAACCTGGAACACTGCGTCCTCTCCTTGAAGGCCAAGCCAGTGATCTCGGGCGGAATCAGCCGCATGGAGGAACATGAAGAGCCATTCGACCCTGCGCTTGGCCGTGCATGCATTGCTGAACCATGGAGACTCTTGTCAGTGGATTCTTCCATGGTGCTGAAGAGGGTGAAGGATGAGTATGGTGTTGGAGCAAATGGGGTGGTGTGCTTGGGTGGGTTTAGAAATGTGAGGGCTGTGCATGAATGGAATGGGTTGAAACTGGAACTGGATGAGACCAACTATGATTTTGGGACCAGCTACGAGTTGGAATGTGAAAGTGCTAACCCAGAGAGACACAAGAAACTGCTCGAGGAGTTTCTTCAAGAAAATGGAATCAGATATTCCTATTCTAAAGTTTCAAAATTTGCTGTTTTTCAGTCCAGGAAGCTGCCAGAATGATGAGAAAGTCTCCTTTGCATTTTTTGTTGTTGTTGTTGTTGAATGCATTAAATTCCTCTTTATTTCGTACATATTGTGCTTTATATTTGCTGTCTATTAGCCACGTGACAATGCTCTTTATTTCGTACAATACTATATAGTGTTTACCAAAGTTAAAAGCACGCTTTATACAGTCTCATTTGGTATCCTGTTCATAGAAGGAATCATGTAACGCAATCATTCATGTTCTCTGCAGTACAAACTTATTGCACAAATTAACAAATTTAGGTGGCAGGTTTCAGTGTGAATCACACGTGCAAGTTGTAATCCTGGTTTTACTGAAAATGAAGCCATGTACCGCAAAGCTTATAGGTAAAAACAGAATAAGAACCTATATGGTACATTGAACAGTCACTGCATTGATTTAGTACTACTTTAGAATACTACATAGCAGGTACTAGAGGAGCAGAGTGAATATAAAAAATGAGTATTGTCTCAAAGAACTTCTTTAACGTGCATCCCCCTATGACTGCCCCAAACGTGCCAATAGCAAATGTATCTAACTAGTATATCCTAGGTTACTGCATAAATTTACATAGCTTGCAAGGGATATGTGACAGTAAGACAATGGAAGCCGACAAAAAATAAGACCTTCGTGTAAATAAAATAAGAATCTGTCACCAGGAAATCCATCTTTTAGTTCAAACTCATTAGAAAACTCTTGGGCCTATTTACTGTGTTATGTATAACCGATAAGTCATGAGCAATTTGTCATACTGCTCAAATGGACGTTTCCTCATTAACAACTATAAGGCAGTTAATTCAGATTACATCAGTTTCAGCATGAAGATGATTGTACACTAGCACATGATAGCTCTTGCAAGAAAATACCAGGAATAAATCAATAATTTCTCTCCTCAGAAGTTTCTAAAAACACCCCATAAATTCTTGCAACATAGTTCTACAACCGCAAGTGACGAAAACGAAGGAGGGCACAACTCAACGGCCTCGACCACGTCCACGTCCACGGCCCCTTCCTCGTCCACGTCCCAAAGGTTTCCCTGAAAAGTAATCAAAATATGCTAACATTAAAAACTGAGGAACTCACCAAGAAACAATTACAATGTTCTAAGAGTATGAATGAAAAATTTGTAGTCAAACTATTAAAAGTACCGGCAGTTGGCTTCTTGGGTTTGATCTTAGGTGTCTCTTCCACAAGCAAGGTCTCAAGATTCAAGCTGTCAGGAAGAATATAGTATCGGATGTTGTTACCCCTCACACTGAGATGATCCAGAGTCACTGGATTCTTCCCTTTCAGAGTTAGTTTAACTGTCTTCAAATGAGTGTTCATGCTGATATCAACACCTGTTGCAAAACTCCCAGGATCACTATCTCAGTTATATTTTTGAGCAAGTATTTACGTACACATACTTGGTGTAGTTATACTAGGAAGCGGCAAAATATGCTTACATTAAGTAAAAAACCTCGCTACACTCAAAATTCATAAACTATGCTTACTTCATGTTCACTTATTATCTACAAAACGGAGCCAGAGGAGGGACATTCATAACATGCTGAATATCACATCCATTTGAATGAATTTAAATCAAACAATGGAATTTCGTGGAGTTTATGTCATAGGACACTCATTACTACTTGGAAAAGAAATCCAAACTTTCCTATCTGAATTAAGGAAGAGATGATTACAATCAAATAAAACAACAAGGGATTGAGCGAGTCTAGTTCAGCAATTTCACTATCAGGCAAGTTACCCCAAAATGCAAATTTGAAGAATATACCGAGCCCTGAAAAGAGAAATTTCGGAGTGAGAATTATGTGTAGAACACAGGTGATTGAAGTCTTGAGATTTTCCACAACAGGATCATTTCCCATCAATTATTACACATCCTTAATACAAGAACCATCATCCAAGCCCTCAGAGGCAACTAGTCTCAAACCATCTTAAGAGCAGGAAGGAATTGCAGTATCTCATGGTTATCATCCAACCCATCACAATGTAAATTATACTCCGAATTACACAAACAATTAACTACTCTGTAGAGAAAACATTTAGAATTATTCAGCTATATAGGAACCAAAGCACAATTAATTTTGGGAACAAAATTCTCAGTCCCTCTCCACTTCCAGGCCAAGAAAATCTCCCCACCAACCCAATGAAATGGTCATATCAGTACCAGACCGAGGAAAATGCGCTAAAATTTTCTTTGTCGTCTAAGTCAATGAACCAGAATCTGAAAATGTGGAAGGTAGTGAAGTAGAATGCTGGTGGACAAACAGGTTTGAATGAGTACAATATAATCAGTAATAAATCACCTAAAGGATACCGAACCCTAGCAAATAATTAAATGCCTCACATTCAAATTCGAAACTAACAAAGCACTGTTCCAATACAATGCTAGCATGTTGTTTGTAAATGATTCTACGCTTCAAGTACACAAGGGGGTCAGGAAGTCAAGTTCAGTAGTAAAATTAATATGTTGTTTGTAAATTGTTAGTTGAACAATGAAAAGAAAAATATGGGAAAAAAAAAAACCTGTAATGGTTCCATGAACTACAGTGCCATTCTTGAGCTCAATGGATACAGTTTCATTGTTCAACTTCATTAAGAACCTGTTCAAGTAATGTTTATATATAATCAAGCTTCGATCCCAGAAAATGAAAAAAAAAAAAAAACAGCACACACACAAAAACAGATAAATTCACCAACACAACAAAGAGCGAGAGAGAGAGAGAGAGAAGAGAGACAAACCTGACGAGCTTCATGGTGAATCGAAGAGTGTGACTCCGTTTGCTTCTCTATTCTTTTTCTGTGAACCAATACAGAGAAAAAGCAACGGTGTGAATTGCGCAAATTACAATAATAATGCAGAAACGAAGAGGATAACACGGAGGGATCTACGGTGACTTACCTTCGGCGGCGGCCACCACGACGGCAGCCAGGGTTTTAGGGCAAAAATTGAAGGTGTGAGAATGAGAGAGGTGAAGAAGCGATTCTTTTGTAAGGGCTTAAGGATAATTTTGTGATTTTGAATCTTGAATATATTTTTATTTTTATTTTTTCATACTTCAACTTTCAACACGTTGGAATTTTGAATTTCTATCCAAATAAATAAAATATTATAATATTATTGTAAAAAAATCAATTCTCATTCTTTTTCTTCTTTTTTAACTTACCTTAATTGTATTTTTTATTTTTCTTTTTTATACTTCTATAGCTTAATTTATTCGCAACTTTGGCTTATTAATTTCCAATGTATTAACTATTTATTTAAAAACTGGTGCTTTTTTTTTAATTTGATTCAAATAGTTTGTATATTTTTTATTTGTCAATATATACAAATCACCATTGCCTCACGCATTCATTAAATTTCATTATCTATTGAATAGATTCCTAAATAAAAAACATTAATTACGTTTCAGTGAGAAAAAATAGAAAAGAGATAGAGAGGACAAAATATATAATAAAAAATATTTATAAAAAAAAGTAAGTTAAATTTTAATTTTGGTCTTTTATTTTATCTGTTTAAGATTATAATCTTTAGATTTTATAAAATTTATAATTTCAGTCCAATTTCAAAAAAAAAATTTGCTTATTTTTTATTTTAATTAATTGAATTGATTTTATAACATCTTAGATAAATACGTTAGTTTACTATTCATATAGAATAAAATAAATATATATAATTTTAACTGCCAAAAATAATATTTATAATATTTTATTCTAAAAAAAGTGATTAACAATTTTTAATCTGTGAAAAGCAATAATATATTAAAATGCAAGCAGTGGATCATTTATGTTACTTGCTGTGTATTTTTTATTTTGAAAAATATATAATAGAAGTATAAATAAAATAGAAAGTAATAAATTTATATATTAATTTATTTTTAAAAATTAAGAAAATAAAATAAAATAAATTATATTATTATTAAATTTTATATAAAAATTAGTTATTTATAAAAATAGTATGAATTTGGGTTGTGAAAAATATCGTTTTTCAATATCAAATACGCTGGATTCGTGTACTTCTATTCCACAGTCTTCTGGAAGAGAGAATAACTCATGACACTTAAGATGACAGTTTATTCTTCTTCTCCTAAAATTTCTGGAACTTTCATTTTTTTAACTGCCTGGTCCTTCCTTTAGTATAAATCTTGTTGTTTGTTTCTTAATCTTCACAAACAAAAACAAGAATCTTAAAATTGAAAACGATCCAAATGATGCAGATGAAGAACACCCCTTTCAACAGAACTGGTTGGGGCATGGTTGAACCTGTTTATCACAAAGCACCATCCAAGGTGGTTTGCATTCCAGTTCACTTCGTAGGTTCAGAGCGCACCAGAACCGATTCAGCCATAAAGATTCAAAGGGTGTTTAGAGGGTTTCTGGTGAGGAAGACGTTGAAGAAGATCGCGACCATGAGGATGGAGTTGGCGCGGATAGAGAGCGAGATTCGAGTGGACTTGGTGAAGAGGGAACAAAAAGAGAGGGTGAAGGTGATCGAGACCATCATGAACTTGCTTATCAAGTTGGATTCTGTTCGGGTATTGCACTACACTGGCCTCAGGGAGTGCAGAAAGTCTGTTATAAAAAATGCTATTGCCCTTCAGGAAATGCTTGATCAAATGGCTGTCCCTGATTCTGATGAGGATATGAAGATGGAAGAGGGGAACGAATGTATTGTGGAAGAAGAAAATTGTTTGGTGAAGGAAGAGAAAGACAGTGGAATGGAAAATATGAGGAATGATGAGGTAGAGAAGGAGAAGGGTGATTGCATGGAAGAAGAATACATTGGGTTGGAAACAAGTTTGGTTGAGGAAGAGGAGGGTGAAATGGAATGTGAGGAGAAGCAAGAAGAAGGGGAGGAACTTGAAGCTTTAAGGAATGAGGAGCAAGTGGAAGAGAAGGAGAGTGTGGGAACGAGTTTGGCTGTGGAGAACTGTTTGGTGAAAGAAGAGGAAGGGGATTGTGGAAGAGAGGAAGGAGATGGGAAGCAGAGGGAGTTGTTGATGGAGAAGATGGTGGAAGACAACTACAAGATGATGGAGATGATGGCGCAATTGTTTCAGAGGAATGAGATGCAATCTACACTCCTCACCTCCCTCTCACAAAGAGTGGAGCAGCTTAAGAGAGCCCTGGCTTGTGAGAAGTTGAGGAGGAATAAAAAGAGAAAGGCTAATGGCAAAAATAAACAAATTCATCCTAAAAACTGCTTCATCTGAGTTGTGCCACCACTCAGAAGGATCTTTCCATCTTTGGGATTTTGGTTTCTTTTTACCCCTTGTAACTAGTTTTGTTGTTGAAGTTAATGTTCATTGGGATCATTGTAATTATTTTTTCCTTGCTGCTGTTAATAAAGTGCCTTTCAGATGAGTTTTGGAAACCCGTTGCCTTTTTATTTTATTAGCCATGAATCTTTCTTTCCTCTACATGAATAGAAATCTAATTATCATACAAGTTGAGGCTTTTCCAATTTCTTACTATTTCGACAAATCATATGCACAAGAATGTAAGTAAGTCAGATGCTTATTTAATGCTGGATATTCAACTACACCAGAAGCAGGGCAAACAATAGCAAAAACCCCTTCCTAATTGTTGGTGCATGGATTTGAAGAAGCAGTTACCAAAAACAAGATCAAATGTTAGAACTTCAGTCACAATTGTACAAATATCAATCATTGCGTTCTTCTATATTTACAAGAAAAACAAGAAACACCTTCTCACCCAACACTGATGAGTTCTCCAGCCCTTTTGAAAATCGTCTTCCCAACTTTATCAGTTATTTATGAAGAGATCATTTCAGATACAACGCAGAAACAAAATTGATTTGATAAGCAACTATAACAATACAAGATTTTCTCAACTGGGTGATATAGGTTACATTTAAATGAAATGATGTTTGAAAGTACAATCATGGTATAAAACATGTATTCTTAAATGATATTCAGTTCTTGGTAAGGAAAATCAACCACATCAATTTCCTTCCTTACCATTAATCCAACAATAAATAAACAATTTCAAAATCTGATTTTTATTATATTTTAACATATAAAAATGAATTATGACAAAAAGAAGTTGAATCAGTGACAGTTAATTTTTTTAAAAATGTAATCAATAAAAATGACAATTTTAAAAGACTAATTAGAATAAAATTAAAGTTTAGATATTTATTTAATAAAGAGTAAAGTTTAAGATTATTTGGATCAAAACTGTATAGCAAAAGTCATATGTACTAATTTAGATTAAAAAAAATCATTATAAAACATCAAAAGATGATGACGTGGCAGAAGAGGAAGTATCTGGAAACAGAGTCCACCTCCACGATTACGTAGAAGAAGAGTCGACAATTTTCTAGAAAGAGAGTATAACTGATGCCACGTAAGCAAGTTCAATTCTTTCTCTTCCTCCTGAAACTTCTCGAACTTTCGTTCTCTCGTCGCATCATCCGTATAAAATCTCTTCCTCTGATACCTTAATCTTCGCCTAGAAAAACATAATTCTTAAAATTCTCGAAATTGACGTGACCGGAATGATGCCGATGAAGAACAGCCCTTTGCACAGAACCCGTTTGGGCATGGCTGAGCCTGGTTATTACAGAGCACCCTCTAAAGTGGTTTCCATCCCGGTTCACTTTGTGGGTTCAGAGCACACCAGAACCGATTCTGCCATAAAGATTCAGAGGATATTGAGAGGGTTCCTTGTGAGGAACGTGATGAAGAAGATCGCCGCCATGGGGGTGGAGTTGGAGCGGATCGAGAGTGAGATTCAAGTGGAAGTGTTGAGGAGGGACCAACGAGAGAGGGTGAGGGTGACGGAGACCATCATGAACTTGCTTCTTAGGCTGGATTCTGTTCGGGTATTGCACTACTCTGGCCTCAGGGAGTGCAGAAAGTCTGTCATAAGAAAGGCTATTGCTCTTCAAGAAATGCTTGATGACATGGCAGTTCCTAATTCTGAGGGTGTGAAGGTGGAGGCTACAGGGAATGAGGAGGAGGAGAAAAAAGAGAAGGAGGGTGAATGTGTGGTGGGAGAAGATAATTGTTTGGTGAAGGAAGAGCAAGGTAATGGAATGGAAAATTTGAGGAATGAGGGGGTAGGAAAAGAGAGTGGGGGGATGGAAGAAGAAAGTATTGGGTTAGAAACAAGTTTGGTTGAGGGAAAAGAGAGTGAAATTACATGTGAGGAGCAAGAGGAGGGTGAGGAAATTGAAGCTTTAAGGATTAAGGAGGTGGAAGAGAAGGAGGATGGTGAGGTAGGACAGGGTTTGGTTGGGGAGAATTGTTTGTTGAAAGAGGAGGAAGGGAATTGTGAAAGAGAGGAAGGAAACGAGAAGAGGGAGTTGTTGTTGGAGAAGATTCTGGAAGACAACAAGAAGATGATGGAGATGATGGCGCAGCTTTTTCAGAGGAATGAGATACAGACTACACTTCATACCTCTCTCTCACAGAGGGTGGAGCAGCTTGAGAGAGCCTTTGTTTGTGAGAAACTGAGGAGGAAGAAAAAGTGCAAGTCTGATCGAAAACATAAACAAAATCATCCTAGAAATGACTTCATCTGACTTGTGTCACCTCTCAAAAGGATTCCTCCATCTTTGTGATTTTGACTTTTCTTCCCCTTGTAATAATTTGTCATTGAAGCAGGTGTTCATTGGGATCAATGTAATTTATTTTGCCTATATAATGAAGTGACTTTCTCAATAAATTTTGGAAACTATGTTCTTTAATTAGATATGAATCTTAACTCTATAATAGAAATTCAAAAAGCAATACAATTTGAGGCTTTTTTGTATTCTTTTCATTGTGTAGAAGAATGGCAAGTTGTCATCACAAATATGGTTTTGCATTTGATAGAGAAAAGATGAGTATGAACTTTTGTAATTACAATGTACAAAGTCATGATTCAGTAACAGAACAAAATCTTTAGTTTGCAAAAGATTATGCAGAAACATTTTGAACAATTAGAGTAAATGTAACAGTCAAGAAATGAGTTAAGAACTTTTGTAATTACAATGTGATGTCGATAATAAAGCATTAAGATTTGGAATAAACAATAATAGAGGCATATATGTGAAGCAGTTAGCGTAGTATGATACATAATATTATTAGTTTAAACTAATGTAAAGAGCAAATCAATATATTTATTAATTTTTCTATATTAAAATATTGAAATTTTTTAAAGATAACAATTTCAATATGAATCAAATTCAGAAATACCAAAATAGGTAAATATAAAATAAATATAAAACCTTTTTTGTTATGTACAATATGATTAATATTTTTATATTTACTATGCATTAAAAACTCACTATTTATTAAGTGTCATAGTAATTAAAATAGTTCTAAGAGATATAGTAATTATTTCACTAATAAAATATTGTTTATTTTACTTTAATATAATAGCTTTCAAGAGATATAGTAATTATAATATTGTCTAAAGTTTTCTTAATCTAGGAAAATAAATTGCGCTAATTTATATATATATATATATATATATATATATATATATATATATATATAAGTGTTATTTTGAAGCACAGTGTTAAATAAATATAATAGTAAATAATGCAATGATCTAAATAAGCAATACGATAAAGATATAACACATTAAGTTAATAAACTGTATTCTGCGTAAAAATGATAAAAGGCCAATTCAATGAATATTTTAAAGAAAAAAATATTTAAGAAACTAGAAATTATCGTTTTAAAAACGTTACATACAATTATATAAAATTTTTGCATGCTCCACTAAAATGTGTACAGAATGAATTAACTTTTTTATTTTATTTTTTAACTTTATACTTCAGGTGACAAAACACATAAACCATTAAACTATGGAAGGTTTCAACTTTCTCCATCCCACTATATTATTAAGCCACATTCCATGCATTTTTCGAATGTATTTTTACATTTTGAAAAACTCATTTTAAAATACATGCAAGGTTTTAGAAGAAAACTATGGAGTGCAAAAAGAAATCTCTTTCAGAAGAAGCCCATAGATGGAGGTGAGAATCTGACTATATCAGATCCATTCAAAGTTCCAAAATGAAACAAACTAAAAGCAGAGCACACTCGTTTACTTTATTTTTTTATTACATATTTTGCACGCATTAGGAAGAAAATCATCTTATATATTTTTTTTTGTTCATCCTTTTACTATTTTGTTATCCCTCACTTCTCTCTAAATATCTATTTTTCCCTTCTCAATCCAAATCTGAATCTAGAAGCAAGAACTCCATAATGATACAGAGAATACTAGTCCTTTTTAACTTTATTTTGAGTTCATGAAATTGCAAAATAAGAAATGTAGAGAACTAGTCAACTTGGACATCATAAGAAATAATGCTTCAAATTGAGAGAACTAGTCAACTTTAACATCATAACAAATAAGATTGTCTTCTACAAAAAGTAAAAAATTAAAAAAACTATTTATACAAAAAAATACAACCTCTAAAACATTAAATAATTACTTAGTATGTACCAGCACGTAGTACCTTTTCTCCCACTCTTGTCTCTAACTTACGTTTTAGAGAATCTTTAGACAGACACTCCAACTTGATACACTTGTACTGTCCAGATCTAGGTGCTCCCAAACATACATAAATGCACCCAAAAACAGTGTTATATAGGAATTTGCAATTTTCTAACTGTCACCATGGACAACATTAATCTTCAAATTCAACCTATTATCACCTCTTTGAATTATATGCCAAGGCTTTCAGGTAAAATGATTGATTGTAGTAGTTTTGCACACAGTTAAACCAGAGCAAGAGAAACTGTCATTCAACAATTAAATTATCATCAGCAAAAGACTTAGTTACCATAAAAGATCCAAATCAATCCCCATTTTGAAAGACAACAACATTTACATAGTGTATTCTAATTCTACTCCACATTCTTGCTATTTTTCTTTTTCTTTTTACTGAGATTTCTTTTTAAGAAAATTGTACTTTCAAAAGAAAAAATAAACATTATCTTTTGGGTGCGTCAGATAAACTAATTGCTTACAAGGTCATCTTCATTGGGAGAAACTCGAGTTTCTTGATACATTACAAAATTTATGTATGGTGAAACCAATAAATTATTTTGCTCCAGTAGTAAATAGGTCAAGAAATTTAAAGAAACTTTAAAAAGTTCACACATTTTAAAGCAATTATTATTAAGAAACGGTTTCTTATACAAGAAACCCTAAGAACCTCATAATGCTACATAGATCTATTTTTTAAGTATAAGAAAAAAGAAAGAAATGACCATTTGATTTGCTCTAAATTTATAATGTTTGGTACGACAATTAAAAAAATATATCTTCAACGCATTCAAAATTGTAATTAATATTCAACATCTAAGTTATAATATAACAGGTAAAAACTTTTTGAACAACTCAGCATCCCCATTCTCAGTTCTTGAGTGGAGTCAATTGGTTTTGGAAGAGTTGTGTAGCTGTCCTTCCCATGATCCACTCTAAATCTGAAAAAGGCAAAGAGATCTCATTGCCAATATTATGCACTGCTTCTTTGGCTCCTTTGTAACCACATTCAGCAACAACAAATGGAAAATCACTGTGACAGCATGATTGGAAAAGAAAAAAAAAAGTTACTTTGGTTGTTTATGGATAAGATTCTCTTACCCATTTCCCTATTCTACAGTTTCCTCACTAAGTTGAGTTCTATTTTAGCTGCACAAATGTATGATTGGAAGTTACCTGCCCCACATTACACGGTTAGCACCAAAGTGAGAGACAACTTGAGATAAGAGAGGAGACAAATCCAGATAAGGAAACTGTCCTCTTGACACTCTGAAAAGGGCACTAAATTTCACATGTACCTGCCATAAATTCAAAATTTAGTACACTCATGCTGGAGGTTTCACTGATTAAGGAAAATGAAAAAAAAAAAAAAAAAAAAAACAAAGACTACCAAGAATTTTGACAAGGGACTTCAGAAAGATAAATGAATTTTGATAATTATATCAATACTTTAGATTTAATTTTTTTTTTTTGTGAAAATTTAGCTTTTAACATTTTACTCATTTAATTGATGAGAGGATACTTTGATGTCTGATATTAGCAAAAAAAGAATAAGCATATTCAAGAGTTAAACAATTGTTCTTTTTTTTATGCTCTTCCGCAGTGTAGAAAATATGAAATTAATGAAAACTTTATGCATGCTTTGTTTCCTTGAGGTCTTGCTCATGAGGAAAGAATCAAACACTTACTTGTGGGAATCTAGACAGATTTAAAAGTTGAGTAAAGACAAGACCTTCCTCATCATTTCTGCAACACAATATCCATATAAGGGAACATGTCTCGGTCTTTGATACGATGGTTGTAAATATAATCATATGGCTTACATTGGCGGTTTGCAAAAGGCCAAGTGATCAAGCAATACAACTGTTGATGGAAATTCTGTGCATAGTTGCTCAATTTCAGAAATATGCAGACCAAGCCCCTGAAATTATTCAACTCAGTCATTCTTAATTTCGTCAACTTCATATATAAAAGTGTCTCAACAACTGTATACAGAGGTGGCGATAACATAAGCCAAAAGTAGGAATGTAATTGAAAACTGAAATTGTATTACTGGTAGGGGAAGAAGATTTACAAGACAGTTCTTCTATATTGACAATACAAGGAAATGAAAAATCACCTTCATACACATGAAGCCCACTGGCACATTGAGTTCTCCAGCCCTTTGGAAAATAGCCTTTCCAACTTTATTTGTCATCTGCAATGTGACCAGAAAAAAGAAGACAATCTTGATCCAATAAACAAAAACAATAACAAATCCTTTTTCCATTACAAGAGATAGATAGGCTACATGGGTTAAATGATGCCATTGCATGCTGTCCAAAATCTTAATTTTGATCCAATACAAATTAAAAAGTTGTACACTATTAATAGATGATCCCAACTTTTTTAAAATGCAGTTCTAACTTTTTACTAGAAATAAAAGACCCGGTTAACTACAAGTTTACATATTACAATAATTCGACACTATCTTAATTTCTTGAAAAAAGTGTGTCAATTTTAAACACTAAAAAGAATAACATAGAAAGAAACTGTCCCTACAAAAAGATTTGCTAAGACACAATATTATTCACATCTTCTGTTGCTTGCTGAACATATTTATAGCACTTTTTTTGGATATCCTGTTTTAATCAATCACAGAATTGACTATAATTTATCTGTTCTTTGCTTCAAAAGGTCAGCTAAAAACAAACATAGGGGTCTTTTTAGTTGATCTCCTTCGTCCATCAATAAGGATAGTTGATCTCTTAAGCATTCAAAAATAATTACAGCATATACCTCTATATGGATGTTAGTATAAGTGTTAAAAGAACGAGGATGTCTTGTTTAATTTCAGGAAACCTTAGGGGAGATTAGTGTAATTTTAATCTATAAGTTACTACTTCTACATTAATCTAAGTGAAAGAAATCAAATAATAGACGAGTAAGGGGTCAAAAAGAATGACTGAATTATGTCTCCAGCCTAAACCATAAACAAACAGACACGTGAGAAAGAAACGAGGTTACCTACCTTTTCTCCAGTTGGCCACAAATAAGGATTGAATCGAATAGCTCGATAACCATCCTATCAAAGATAAAAAGAAAAATTCAATTGCTTTCCAATAAATAAGCTGTCATGATAAAAAGAAATAGTCCATAAAACCTTCAAAACAAGATCTTCAAACTGCTTAAGCCCACTTCCATCATCAGCTGGATTAGCAAGGCAACAACCAACAAATTTGATCGGATATTTCTTCAAAACGCTGTCCAATGAACAAAATGACAAGAGTAGCACAATATAATAACACTATAAAAATAAAAATAAATAAATAAACGTTACATGGAAGATGTAATGACTACAATAAACTCCACAACTAAGTCCATGTGAAAGTTTTTCCCTAATTTGCCATCCAACTCACTGTGCAACTAATTAATCAAATAAAGCATAATAACAACAATAGTCATATCTTCTAGGTAAGGTTGGCTACATAAGCATACAAATTACAATGCCATTGGACTAAGTTATAAACCAAATTTCAGGGATATGATTCAGGATAAGATCCCTTTCAATAATTTCCCCCAATCAGATAAAGTGCATGGCTCAACATATATCACATGTCTCACAGATGGTAGTTGTTCACCTGCATCTGAAAATTCTGATATTACAAATTTCCCCACGAAAGGAGAAAAATATATTTTACCAACAAGGAAGGCACCTTAAAATGTGGACATGCCCGTGCAGACGCATGCACAAATAAACTAGGAGGGCTCCTTTCATCAAGCAATTAAGCCAATAGAAAAAGAAAATGATAGTTAGAATGAAGCCATTGTTTTGGATATATAGAATTGGTATTTGGAGATCTAATGAGAAGAAATTTTATCTGTCAGAACTTTGGTCTTAAACTTTCCTTCACAATCAGGCATTGTATTTCCTATTAAAACTACATTCGATAAAATTACTACGAATAACACTATTCCTATATGGCACACAAAATGCATTTTTTTCACATTTCATTTTAACCAGAAACACTGCTTGAATAAAAAAAACATAGGGTCGTCACACATATAAATTCATCATGTCTTCTTAAGTTCTCCACCTTCGGATACATGTAGCATGCATAAACTATGTCTTTCCATTTGGAAAAAACTGACCTGATTTATATCCATAAATGAATGAATATAATTTGATAAATCAAGCCTTTAAATTATCAGATTAAGTAATTTCACATGATCTACAGTATATATAATGGTTAATTTTCCGATAATTTTGGAGATGTTTCCTTTTGTTTCACTATTACAAAAAGGCATTTCTCTGTTTTTAATAAGATTCCTTGTATAACAGAATGTCTAATCTTATCAAGCATTGCCATTTATCAGAATTTCTCCCCATCTTCTCCCTTATTCTCTTTTCCTTTGCAAATCCAGCATTGGAAAACGCGTCAAATGCTAAGCTCATACTTCCACTAGATATTTCATCCACACAAACTCTCATTTCAGTATTGTTTAATACAAAAGCGCTGAATAACTCAGTTCTTACACCAAACGGGTAAAAAAATGTTAAACAAACCTTGTGACATAATTATGATCAAATTTATGATTAATTGGTTGCACAATGAGTGCACCATCTACTCCTGCCTCCTCCATACACTGAAAAAAGTGAGCATCAGCATCAATAATATACACACAAACACAAATCCAACCACATAAAATTAAACCCATGCAGTTGGGACTTTTGACAAACAGTGTATAGGGAGACTGTATCACATCCTAAATGGATGAGTCAAATATGCAGGAAATACAAGAATAAGGCATCAACAAACTGTATACACATAATAATAAAAAGCAAGTTAGTTGACCCAGGGGTAATCATGGATAGAGAGATAATAAACTTAAATGCATACCTGGAGCAAAAAGTCGGCATTTCCTGGTAAAGTGGGTTCTTGTCCAGGAAAATAAGGGAATTTACCAGCCTTCATTTTCAAAAAAAGAAAGGATAATGCTTTCTTTATGAACAACCCAATAAAAGATAACAAAGCTAGAAAAATCATTATTTTGCACAAAAGTTTCTGTATAGGATTAAGCAGAATAGTCTTTACCAAATATGTATGAATTTTTGTGATTACAAAAGTACTGTTTATTCATACGTCAAATAGATACAAAAATATGAAGACAATTTGGAGAGTAATAATAAAATATAGCAATAATGTTAATATTAATTAAAAACATAAAAAGAAAAAAGGTGAAGAAATTGTATTGTGTTGTGTTAAAGATACCTCTTGAGGTGAAGCCCACACGTGGAGATGGGAATCAAAGACCTTGAAGGTTGAAGGGGTTTCAGTGAAGGCCATATTTGTAACTGCAGCACAACAACCACTCCTAACTCCGAACCTCAACTTCAACCTAGGTTTCCCCGAATGCCTCGGACCAACACCTGAAACCACAGTACTCAGTCTCAACGCCATTTCATGTGAAATATGAAGGATATCATAAATTGCTAAGAAATGTATTTATTTTTATTTTATTTTTTTTATTGTTCATAATAACTATGTGTAAGTAAATTATCTTTTTACTTTTTTCTCAACAAATTGTATCTTTTGTTCTATTTATTGAAAATACGTAAATATAAAGAAAACATAATATTAATTTTAAAAAAATAATCGACATTCTTTTCCAATGTTCTAAAACGAAATGAATATTTTGATTCGTAATTGATGTAAACTTTCTTTTCATATGCAATGAATAAGCAATGTGCAGCTTCTAAGATTTTGTCATAATGAAATAATAGTCTAAGTATGGTTTTTGCTCATAATTTTTGTAATCTTAAAAAAATAATAAATAAAGAAAATAAAAAGTTATTTCAAAAGTAATTTTTTCAAAAAAATTACTTTTTAGCATAATCCTTTATTGTATTTTAATCCAACATGCAAATGTGGATACTTTTTGAAAGTTATTAAATTAAAAAGGAAGAATTAAGATAAATAATATTATTTTAAAATTTCTCTTTACCTTTGCTCTAATTAAATTTCCTATTGTTACTTTTTACCTAAATTTCATACTTGGTTTTAAAAAATAGTTTCTGTAGTACTGAGATTTTCTATATACGGTGTCTAATAATAAAATATTATGTACAAAAAGTTTATTAAGTTTTGCAATAATTGATTTAAAAATACTTAAAAAGATGATGTTTAATCAATTGCTAATGTAAGGGACAACGTAAGATAGTTGTTTTTGAAACATAAAGCAACGTTTGTTCTTTGTGTGAATGGATATTAAAAGTGTTGTATAAATTTGTTAACTGCAGCTATAAATTTACATCGACATCTGTACTTTTTTTCCCATTTGCAATGGTTTGTGTCAAAATCAAACACGCTTTAAATCTTACGCGTATAGCTACTAAGTAACAATCATGTCCCTGTTCATAAATGTAAGATTTTGTTGTGTGCAATGGATTTTTCAGCTGAGAAATGCTTGATGGACAACGTTTATAACTCAACCTATTATCTGGATTTGGATTATATGTCAGAAGTATGAGGTAAAATGAGTGATTGTGGTTGAACCTGCACACTTTTCCACACGCGTTTGCCAAAAAAGAAAGTGTAGTCTTCCCTTAAACCAGCGTGTGATGGCTAAAAGAAACGTCTCAATCTAGCAGACACTATTTTGAAACTACACGACCTCTTGGACAAGGTACAAGACACGTGCTACTACTAGTACATTAGTGTGCCACATAACACCCTCTTGCCAGATTTTTTTCCCCTAACGTCTCTTTATAATCTATGGATTCATATACGTAAATTGGTGTAGTTGTGTTTAACATGTGATGTGTTCTGGTTGCAAAATTTATATCTGGTTTTTAGTCTGTGTTTCAATACATGCATGTTTCAAGATACGTTTTGTCATCAATAACTAATGTGGAATGGAGTAGAAGTGAGAATGCCACAACTAGAAGATTTTAATCACGATATACACGAATGCAACGAAATCAAACTATTCAATCTGACATCTAAAACATATTGTCCACAGCGTGAATGTTACAACTAAAAGATTTTAGCCAAAATAAAATATCATATCGATGTGCGTAAATATATATATGTTGACTGTAATGAATTTCAGTTTATGATACGTTATTAAACACTATATACATGTTGAATGAAATTATTATCAGTTAAAGTAGGATTAACGTTCAACGTCTCTCATAGAAACCTCGTAAATCTAATTATCATATCTAATTTCAAGAAAAGATGGCAACATATGCACCTTCTAAACTTTATTTTATTTTATGTAATGTTCTAAAAGTTTTTGTTATGGTTTCTATTCCATACCAATAGTAGGTTTGTGTTTACAAAGGTTTTGAGATGAGAAGAATGTAACAAAGGGATATTAATATACACCAAGAAACATGCCTGGACCAAACACTACAATCTGACATCTAGTTTCATTCTCAGAAATCAACATAACAAAAACATATTAATATACAATTTACTTAGAAACATGTCTAGATTGAACTCTACAATCTGACATCTAATTACAACTTACACCAAATCTAGAAAGATCTACCACAATGCATTGCAATGGGATTAAAAGCAGCCTATCTAGGCTAAACTAAGCTACTGTTTACAATTTAGAACATTACATATAGCTCCTAATTATAGAAATACAGTAGGTTCAACTATAAGACTTCATTAGACCTAAGTTGTAAAGAAACTTCTCAGAGCTTGACCGAAAGAGACCAGACAAAGAGAATTTTCCACTCTCTTGAGGTGGAGGTTTTAAGCAGACATCATCTTTGACATGCAGTATGGCCAAGCCAATCTCTTTCCGAACTGCTTCAATTGTGTCACTCTTAACTGGATTTCCAGTCACATCAGTCACATAGAAAACATTCATGGCTTGAGTGCCCCTGGTTGTAACTTCAGCACGGTTGACTGAAAGACCATTTTCTCTAAAGATGCGAGTTACATCAGAGAGAAGACCAACCCTGTCCTCCCCACATAGTTCTAGCTTTATGCCCTACAGTATCAAATACAAAATAATTGTATCATTAATAAATATTTGGTAAGAACATGTGAATTAGCACGCGAATCACGTCTGGTAGTACCTCAGATGTTCGTCTCCTAATAGCAGCCTCCAAACAATGAATCACTCTTTGCCTTTCTGCTTCAGAACTGATAGGACATCCATCCACATGCCTTATATAATATTCCTGTAAAAGAGGGCAAAATATATTCGTGAAACTTAATGTTATAGTCAGTACCTTTATGATGAATTCCACTGTCAACCACAAACAAGGTGATAGAAAGTAATTGTACCAATAGGCTTTTGCACTCAAGGAACATGACATGACATGTAATGTCACTAAAGTATGATAATTGTAATTCAAGTCTAAGTTGGTAAGATGTACAAAAACTAACATGATTTCAATTCCGAGAACATCAACAACAAACCTGATATGCCTCTGGTCCTTCAGCAATGACAGTTCCATGGAACACAACATACTGCATGTCTGTGAGTGTGCAAACGGTATCAAACAGTAACTTTGGTCTATCTGGACACCTCAAGTTCACAACAGTATATCCCTTATCTATGCAATCATCAACAGTTACGAGGGCCTTGTTCCTGTCACTTGTTGAACCAGAATCCCCATCATCTATGTCATAATCACGATCGGCATACATCAACTGATGCAGCCTCCTATCCTTGTGAGTAGAGCCAACAGAAACAGCAGTGTTGGCACTCTTCTTATCTATGTCTCCTTTCAGCACATACAGTAGAAGCTGTTTAATCTTAACAAGGCGATCCGGATTGTCGATGGGTAATCCTGTCGCCTCATCTGTGATGTAAACAACAGATGCCATTCTTGAATTGTGTGTCCAGACTTCTGCTGCTACCACATTACATTTGAGGTCTGTAAGAACAGCAAAAACTTCTGAAAGCAGCCCTGGCCTGTCTCTTCCGGTTAATTCAATGGTTGTATGTTCTGCTTCAGCTTGAACCCCAACAGATCTTCTCAAGGATCGGAAACTAGAGGCTCTTGGACCCAGTGACTGCAACAAGAAATAGGAATTATCAGCACGAATGAGTAATTCAGATGGATCCATAGAGAGTAATAACATGCAAGAGTAAAACTGCTGATTCTAGTTTCATAATGAAAACAAACTATTCCTTCGTCTTCTGCCTAGTTCTTTTTCAATCTAGTTGTTAATTTGATTTGTTGAAAAGAAAGATCATAAACAGAATCATGCATTTTTTCCTTCTTGGAGATATATGCAGATCAAACAATCACTTGTTCAATTCTACCAACCATCCCTTCTCCCTTTGTTTTCGATCTCCTATTCCATTCAAAGATAGCGACAAGCAGTTGAATAGCGGATATTTATGGTCAGGAATTCACAAACCTCTAGCTGAAAATTGAAAAATTGAGCAGCATAAAGGAATTAAGAAACTACGATAACTCATAATTGAATACAGTTATTAGGGGATAAAATGTAAATTATAAAAAAAACTAGTCCTAACTTGATTGCCAATTTATACAGGAAATTAAATAGTACAGAAAACGCGAAAATAAAAATGGCCTCAGATTAGTTTTGCAGATCTACTACCTGTTGAATACGGTCAGCTACATCATCTTGCACAAACTTTTTCCCATTTTGATCCGTGACATGAAAAACTGGCCAGTGACCAATAACCACATAAATATATCACAAAAACTGAAAACACAATTCACCAGAGCCATGGCAGATAGAAAATTGAGAACTCAGAAGTGAACCGTACCATCCATGAACCATTCTCCATCAGAGGAAATGTAAGCTCTTCTAACACTGAGATTCATGTCAGTGAGAACCTGAACCACTTCCAGCAAGCTCCCCCGCCTGTTTGCACTATCAACCTGCAACAACACTCACGAAAAATCGGTCACACAGAGACCCTTATGCAATGCAGAAAGGACAAGGTCAATGAGAGGTGAATTTAGCACCTTTATCACAGTATCCGTCCTGCTTGAAATGTTATCCACAGCAACTCTGCAGGGCAGCAAAAACACAACATGAAGCACTATTATGCTGCATAAACAACACACAGCAGTGGAAAGAAGCAAGACGAGAATTAGTGGAAGTAGAGAGGCCAACCTGGGAGGGTTCATTCGAATGACAAGCTTCTCGAATTCATCATGGAGAGGGAGAGGAGAGGACCAACAATCCATGGGGGTGTGGTGGAAAACAGAACAGAACAGAACAAAACAGAGTGGAGAATGGTTTTGTTTGGATAACGGAGTGTGTTTGGGGTGTGAGTTTGTGTTATGTTGTGTGTCTGATTTGATTTGTACCTTCGGAATTGGGTTGTGTGTTATGAAATTGTGTTGTGTTTGTGTTTGTGTTTTGTGTTTGTGTTTGTGTTTTGTTGGGGCTTTGGAATGTGGTCGTGTGATGGATTGGTGGGATGGCTCCTAAGCTGGACCAAGAGTTCCCCGTCGACACACCACACATCTCTCCCACACTATCACATTTCTTTTCTTCATCCTTCTAAATCAATATTTATTATATTATTTACTATCGCAATTAATTCTCAATAAATGATTAATTACTCGCTAAAAACATTATACTAAAATAAGTAAAAATAAATCCTAAATGCTAAAGTTCACTAAAATAATAATAATAATAATAGTAGTAATAATTAAACATTTGTGAGAAAACTTATGATTTGTGGGAACTGTATTATATTTATTTATAGCCTTGTATATAAACTTTTTTATTTATTGGGTCAAAATCGAGATGTTTAGTTATTTATATTAAATTTATTAACAGTTTGTATTTTTTTTTTCAATTTTTTTGGAATACATTTTTTTAATCATATTAATTAAGTAATGACGCTTTGACTTGTGAACATCGTCTGTCCTCGTAAAAGGAAAACAAATCAAAGAATTAGCATATTGCATTTATTACCTTGACCAAAATATTTATTAATTAAGGAAAAACTGTTAAAAAAAACATTAATACAGCAAACAATTTGACTGACCATTATTAAATAAAAGTGAGGTCAACTTAAAATTTTTTGTCAAAAACGACCATTAACTAAATTTTTAAAAATGTATTACAGATTGAAAAATTAATAATTATAAGGTTTAAGTATATTTTTAATTTTATTACTAATTATAACACTTAAATATATTTTTAATTTTATAAAATGAGCCAGTTTTTATTTTGATTTTGATTTTAATAAAAAATATTTTAGTTTCTTAATATCCATTTTACGATAAATAAATAATAGTATATATTTAGAATTTTACTTATCAATTATACACACAACATTAGTAGATATCTTTGGAAAATGTCTTCACTTTTCCTTCACCACAAATCATTAACAAATATAAGGTAATACTATAAATTAAAAAAAAAAACTTTAAAGAGACTAAAAATAAAAACAAAATCTAACAAGCCCAAACTTAAAACAAATTTGTTTTGTAGGATTAAAAACATATTTAAATTATAATTCTGATATCAATAATCTTATTACTCTTAATACAGATAAATTTAATTACAATGCTATTCTTTTGTACATATTTAAACATACACAAAAACATAATATAAACATGGCATTCAATAGTTTTACGATTAAGAATTTATCATTTATTTATTAAAAGACTTATTTTTTAACTTATAAAAAAAATATTATCATTCTTGTACATATTTTATTTAAACAAGAAATTCATATTAGAAATTTAATTTTTTATATTATAAATGCAATTTAATAAGACCCATAAAAAAAATTAAAACTGATTTATCTATTTTGTTTTTATTTTTTAAAAGATATTAAATAAAACTCATTTCTTAACAACTAGTTCTCTTTTAATTGAATAAAAATTGGTTTATATAATTAAAAATATATTATTATTTATCGTGTGGGTTGGTGGTGAGTGGTGAAAGGTGTGAAAAATGTAGGGCATGAAAACGTCTCCTCTCTCCTAACAAACCGTCTAGAGATGAGCTGGCATTCTAGGGTTGGTTTAAAGGAAGAAAGCGGTTGTGAATGAGTTGGCATCCACAGTCATTAATGTAAATGTCTCTTTTCTTCCATTTGGGACTCTCCTTCGTTCTTCCAACCCTCTTCTTCTCGTTTTCCATAAGGAAAATATACTAAATCACCATTTCACTCCTTCCTTCATCTTCTTTCTTTTACTTACTTTCTACTCACTTTCTCGTTTAGGACCACATGACCCAACTAATTAATATTTATATAATCTATGCATCAATGTGTTCAATTACAAGTTCATTAAAACATTTAAACAAGTGTGTCACTAAAGTGGGCCAAAACTCAGTTTCTTCTTCTCTCGACCCAACTATTTATTTTCATGTCCCAAAAATTCAGTCATCAATGTCTATTGAAACTAAAGCTTTCACAATCTTCTACATTCTAATCTCATAAGAATAAAGGAAAATTCATATACAAAAAGTTCAAGATTGAGATGAGTATTATGATTTTTACCACATTCATGTTCATTTATTAACAGAGTATTCCTTGGAGATATTTGTGGACACAGATCTTGTCATTTACGCAGTGACATTTTGTTGAGACAAAAAAACAGTGAACAGCAAAGATTTTGTAAGTGTTATATAACATCACTGTTACCATTCTGTCAACCCAAATTTAATGTACACAACAAGTGGCATCCTGCAAAATTCAATAAGTAATAAATATCTAATATAATAAAAATATTAATACTGTCCAAAATCTCTCTTACATAAAATAATAATTATTGTAATTATCCCTCAAATAATGTTTTATAAGTTGGTTTAGATTTATTTATTTATTTTATTTCTATAATTTTTTTTTAAAATTATAAATTATTTTTTATAAAAATTTATAATAAAAATATAACCAAATAAAAAAATGTGTTATAAACTAATGAATATTAGTATATTTATATATTTTTTAATCATTAATATATCTATACATTTATTAATCATTAATAAACTATAGATATATAATATATTAGTTGAATATAATAAATAATTTTATTTAATTTTTATTTGTAATCCCAAATTCAAATCAAATGGCATGATTAATATATACATATATATTAAAAAAATATTTTAAATCAAATTTTATTTTTTAAAATCAATCTTTTAATGTTATTTTTTGTTATCGATTGAACAACCTTTAAGCACAGAGGTGAGATTGCAAAATTCTAACTTTATCGTAAAGTGTTGCTTTTTTATTGATTGAGTCCCCATGTAAGATTGTGCGTTATATTTTACATAACTAAATCCAAGAATCTCACTTTTTTTTCGTTCAAATGTAACGTGACCACGTGGACGGTTTCAATCTCTGTTATGAGATTTTTTATCAGAGTCTGTGTTTTGTTAGAATTTTCCAAACAAAAAAAATATAACAAGAAAAGAACATGATTTTTAATAACTCTATTTATTTGATAAAAACTATAAAATTGAGAGACATTAGTGTATAACAAACCTATCATATGCCACTTATAGATGAGTTGACACCATAATCACGATGAGTTAATTATAGGCAACATTAATTATCAATTGTGTTAAAGGTGGTGTTTTTCCTACTTTTTATGACATTGTTTTATTTCCTATCCATCGCACCAATACATTATATTTAAGGTTGTTTATTGATTAAAAAATATAAAATTATAATAAAATATTTTGTATATAAAAACCACTCATTTTTATATAAATAAAAACTATTGTGTTTTACGAATCTTAGGAGGTGAAGACATGTATTAATTAATGTACTTTATTATGAAATAATAATATATATATATATATATATATATATATATATAAGATAATATTTTATTTTTATTGAAACAGAAGAAAACGATATTTAATTTGTCTATAGGATATATGGTTAAAAAAGTGTGAGGTATATAATTCATTATCTCATGTTTCATATTTAGGATTTAAGATACAATTTGATATTATATTTATAAAATAATAAAATTTGTTTGTAATACCAAATTTAATTCACTTATATACTAGTTTATTTTAAAACTTTAACAATTTAAAAACCAGACCATTTCTTATCTTACCATTATCATATATAATTTTGTTAAAACAAGACGTCAAAATGAGATTTTTTTTATTATAATATATATATATATATATATATATATATATATATATATATATAATTACATTAATCCGTTACATGTATCTAGATACAATTTTTTTTTGTACTCATTAAAAAATATACAAAATAGTTTATTAAGTGAATTCATTTTCTTAATCAAATACTTTATTCTAATTGATTTTATATAAATGAATGTTATAAAAAATTCCAAACATGTAAAAAGAAAAGAAAATTGAAACAATTTTGGTGTATGTGATTTGTTATGGGTCCAAAGTAAAGTTATAAGAAAAGTGGTGTGAAAGGGAAACCCTAAAAAAAGTGTGGGAGACAGAGTACTGACACGTACGGTAACTAAGTGTATTGCCACATCATTATCTCCTTTTTGTCTCTCTTTACTTTTCTCTGTCTCATCCAATTCAATCCTAACACACTCACACGTGCTTCCATCACTACAATATTCCAAAGGGAAAAAATAAAATAAAATTTATAACTTTTATACTGTAAAAATTAAATTGGCATAAAAAATGTTTTAACTTTCATTTTCATGAAAAGAAAAAAGATACGGTTTATATTTTTCTTCTCAGCTCCTACTCCCATGAACCAAATAAGGGAATATTTTCTTGTCTCCTCTATTCTTCTCTCCATGTATCAAACTTTCTCACTTTTCTTTTTTAAACCAAACATTGTGTTGAGAAGAGCAGTGTATGAATAATTGTAAACATTTATAATTTTATGCTAACATTTCTGTAATTTTATCAAAAAGTTGACTTTATAACATTTATATTGTCTATTTGTAAAAATAATATTTTATAATTTAGAGTGTTTTGAAAAAATATTGGGTTCAACTTGATCCAATTTTCTTTTCTGTTAGAAACACTTTGGGGTCTTGTAAAACAACCATCCAATTGGTTAGTTTCACAATCTGATCTAGATTATCTGCAATAATTGTTCTCTTCTTACCCTTAACATAATCAGAGAAGACCACAAAAAAGCTCGACCGTCCCACAAAATCCCCGTAACAATATACATAAATCTTATAAAAAGAAAAGTTGTACAACAAACATGGAGGGTTGCTTATAACAACACCAGCCATCTGGAACAAAATTTGAAAGCAAGATTTGAAATGTCTGATACGTGTATCTTGTAATTCATATTATAAAGTAGATTTTGAATTTTTTGTATAGTATAATTTTCTATGCAATGAGGCATGAAGAAGTTGAAATGTTTTTCAACCTCAATCCTACCTCACACATTATAGAATGCCAGAAACAGCCTAACTGATGCTATCAGTTCATATCAGTTAAGTTGAAAAATGCAGAGAATAACAGAAAGGGATGCAACCCCTTTTTACACCATAAACACATTACAGATATAATTTTTTTGCTTTGATTCCTGAGTCATGTATTAATTCAGAGATGAAATATTGGTTGGCTAGGCTCAATAACTGCCATGATTGATGCATAACTGAAATTCTTAAAGCATTCCCATGTGTCACACCACAATGATGTTGCCTTACAATGGTAATGCTTTAAGAATGCTCAGTTAAGTATCAAGAAGAGACGGTGAAGGAGGTCTTTTCTTAGATTGTGAATCTCAAGGTGGCCGAGAGTGGTGAATAGAGCACTGAACCAGTAACAAGGAAGCAAGAAGTAAAGAGAGAAGAGTGGTGGGAATGAATGAAATTATGAAACTGAGGTTCTTGGCTGAGTCTATTTAAAGACAAGCACCAAAAAGAACTAGAATCAATTAATTAACTTCATTTCAGAGATGCACGCATCAAACAATTATCAATTGGTAGTGTCCAGTTAAATGAGTGTGAGTGTGAGTGTAGTGAGTTCAATTACCACCAAATTAAATCTCACCCTTCAAAAAGAACCTTCCTGATAAAGTACTATTTTCCAAAGTTTTTTCTTCTAATGCATAGAACTCGTGCATGCTCATTCAGAGCAAAATGACGTGTGTGCTGTGTGTGTGGTGCTAATTAATTGATTAATTAATGGAGATGCATCATCAATCAAAGCTAATACATGTAATATATCTGAACTTGAGGTTGGATGTGAGAGGGCCACTTAATTACCTTGTGGTTAATTGTGAACAAAGGACAATATCAACCTAGCTGTTATCACTTTTTCATTGATCTTAATTTGTACATTTTAGTGATTTTGTAATACTTAAGTGCTTATTTCTTTTGTTGTGTTGGGTCAATTTATAGCATTATAAATTGGCCACCAGGTTGTAGTGAATGATATATCACATGGGTGGATCATACTAATACAAAGTTTTGTAAACATTTAACTGGTAAAGGGACCACTTATGCAGAAATTAATAGCTGAAAAAGTTGCAATCTTCACATACCAATTTATCTAATATTATTCCGAACAAATTGGTTCACACACACTTTTTAACTCTAATTTTTTCAATTTTTAATCAGTGTATCAAATTTGTTAACCCTTAATGAACAGTAATTTTAGGTTATCATTAATGGGTGGTGATAAATCTTTTTATATAATATAAGTAATCTTTTTACTAAGTATTTTTGTTCATATATTATATGTTGATTCATTATTGACTTAAATATGGGAAGACTTTTATAAATGATTATCCCATCTTCAAAAAACATCTATAAGTCATAAGATCATTCCATTTCCAAAATCTAAATAAATAAAAAAATTTTTTTTAAATTATTTAACAATTTAAGCAAAAGTCATAGATGAATAAGTAACTCATACTTATTAACTACTATAAGTGGTTTTTGTTTTCTTTTTTTTTTCATTTGCTTGGTTTACAAATATATATTATTGATTTTTTTTATAGCAAATAGATATTATTCATAAATATCCAAGTTTGTTTGGTTTACAAATAGATATTATTGATTTTTTTATAGCAAATAGATATTATTCATAAATATCCAAGTTTATGGGGATTTTGACCATAATGTCCACCTAATGAATTATCAAAGATCCAGAAATATTGCTAACATCTTTCTCTTTAATCCGCCCGTTACCACTATTACCAGCATTATTCCACAACTATTAAGAAATATCATGTTTCTTAGAATTAGAAATTGATTCGAGAGGGAGACTTTAAGTTAGGTAAATTTTAACATAACATTAATCATGACCTTTTATTGTATTGATATGGATATGATCTATGACAAGAATTAGAGCAAGAGAAGCTCTTCAACAAATATTGTTGGTTGAGTAAGAGGGTGCATAGCTGATTGACTTTTGATTGTCAATTGGGCCCTTATTACAACTTGCAATAAAATCAAACTAAAACCTATTAATTAATTAATCTAAAACACAATTTGACGAAAAGTCTACATCACATACTCTGGATTTCATTTAGGTCTTACGTATTTCACAACATTTATAATGGTTAAAAAAGAACTAATAATTGAAGTAATACTAGGAAATATACGTAACTTCAATATAAATGATGATATGAATTATATTTATTAATTTATATTTTATTATAGAAAATGAATAAAAAAAAGGTACAAAGGTGTCTTCTAATTGTCTTAAATGTTTCTAATTCCTCGATTTAATATAATTATTTATTTTAATCCTTAAAAAAATCCTAAAAAAAAATTAGTCCTTATGAAATACAATAATTTTTTTGAAGTCCTTTGAGAAGGACTAATGTAGCTATTATATTTTGCTAGAGGGGAAGTATCTTTTCGCTCTTCATCATGTATTTTTTGTGTTACACAGGAGTCATTAATTCTGTCAGATAAATGTAAAAACGCATTAATGACAATTTATGATGCAATGCATTGATAACGTATTAAAATTAATCTCTTGCTATAATAACACCATCAAGATTGCAAGACTTGAATGGGCTGAGTTTAATACTAACTTGCTCATTTTCTTCATTTTCCTCTTCTATTGAGTTTAGCAAAATGCAAAAAGTACATAAATTCAAAAATCAAAACAAATCACCTAGCTACATTGGTTGGCAACTAAATCAAACATCTTCTCCTTCCATACTGCCCCAATAGAACTCCCAAATAGCAGCAATAACTAAAAAAATCAATGATCTAAGAGCTTTATTACTCTACTTTGAAACTATGCTTTATTGCTTTACATGATTTCATGTGTGCCTGATATCTGTCTTCCAGCAGAGAAGCAACCATGCTGCTGAAGAAACCACAAAATTGCATGCATGCATGCATAATAGCTACCATCTGAGGCTGATCACAAGTAAACAAAATGTGAGGCTTAGTGCTCTACGTCTGTACCAAGGTCACCCCACCGTACGTTGTATCTGGCTGCAAGATAGTGAGCACCAACAGGACCCCTACTACCATAAGGATAGTACTCTGGAACTATCTTCTTCTCTTCTAGTTCCTTCAGTACAGGTGTAAAAAGTGACCAAGCTGCATCCAGTTCATCGCTACGTATAAAGAGTCTCCTTTCTCCTTCAATGGCATCCAACAGTAGCCTCTCATAAGCATCTGGAATCTCCTTTGAATATCTGAAATGAAATAAAAATGAACATGTTAGCTTATGTGATCATAGAATATGCCATCTATAGATAGCACTCAAAATGCCCAATTTCATTTATGGAGCAAGAGTGGCAAACATGCTACAAGCCCACAAAGATTTCGGACATTAGATTAATGTTAAATATTGCCACCAGTTTAAGAAGATAAAAAACTATGAATGAAGTGATTTTTTTAGATAATAATCTAATGAAGAGTGTATTTCATAAGTTGATAAAAGATTAAAAAGAAAATACCTTGCTGCATAGTGAAGATTTAGATTACTGCGGTCCAACTTCATTCCCAGACCTGGAACTTTGTTGTTTATCTTCAAATAAATAGCCTCATCAGGCTGAACTCTAATAACAAGTTCATTGGTAGCCCGATCTAGATCAGTACCAAAATTTCGATTGTACAGATTACCAGGAACATGCCTGAACTGTACCCGTATCTCAGCTCTGAACCCAAAAAAGCATGGTAGTTAAAATATATTTAAAATGGGGTGTGGAGACCTAAAAGTATAAATAGATGGTAGCATCAAACTGACACAACATAGAAGTAAAATTTATTTCCTCACTCACCTTTTGTTGTGTAATGCTTTCCCAGCCTTCATCAGAAAAGGTACCCCGTCCCATCTTGCATTATTTATAAAGAGGGCAGCTGCGGCAAAAGTTGGAGTAAAGCTGCCTAATGGTACAGTTTTGTCATCAACGTAGGCTGGATATGTAACACCTCCTCTTGTGTGGCTCTTATACTGGCCTACAACCACATCCTCAAGTTGCAGGGGTCTCATAGAACGGAGAACCTTGACCTGACAATCATTAGGTAATTGAAAATCTGGTGAGAAAGAAAAATTCACGATTACTTAGAACAACTGAATTCAAGGTAATAACCATTTGAGACCTTTTCATTTCTAATGTCCTCTGCATCCAAACTAACAGGGGTTTCCATCGCAAAGAGTGCTAGTATTTGAAGTAAATGGTTCTGCATAATGTCTCTTATGATACCATAATGGTCAAAGTACCTACACAGTGCATATGGAAATGGATAAGAATCCCCATTATAAGAACAGAGAGTGTGAAAGCTGTGAAGGACCAAAAGTTACCCGCCGCGTCCTTCAGTGCCAAAATCTTCTGAGAATATCAACTGTACATTTCTTATATATTGCCTTGACCATAATGGCTCAAAGATGAGATTTGAGAATCGAAGAACAGAAAGATTTTCCACAAGTTCTTTTCCAAGATAGTGGTCAATCCTGTATAATATTTCCCATTTTATAAAATGTACATTACAATCTTAAAGTTGAAGACGAATGGTGTTAGTTGGAAAACCTGAAAATTTGATCCTCAGTCAGATACTGCTTGAGTGATTTTGTTAATGCAGCTGAAGATTCAGAATCACGACCAAAAGGCTTTTCAACAATGACCCTGGTCCAACCATTACCAGAAGAAGCTGACAAGCTTGCACATTTTACAGCATCTATAAATATATTAGGAGGAATTGAAAGATAAAACAGGCGATTAGAAGTTTTCCCACCCTGCAAAAACAATTTTCGCATTCAAACAGAATGGTTAAAATCTGATTTTGATATTAGCTTCAACTATTCAGACAAAAAATACAGTAAGTTTCTTCTTTGTTGGTATATCAAACTTGATCCAAATTAAAATTGCATGCCAGCAAAAAAAAAAGCCCACACATAGAATAAAGTGCAGAGTGGGGAGTAAAATAAAAGAATACATGTCAAGGAAACATAATAACCATGTAATTAAACTTATTGATTCTAATTGCAACATATTCAAAATCAACTATAGAGATCTACTATGATAGCTAATTTGTTCAAATTCTTTCTTGTTTTCGTTGTCTATTCCCACCTCTTTTTCTTCATCGTTTTCATTTGCTTCTGAACTACTGATTGTCCTTTAAAGTGAGAATATTCGTTCCCATAAGTAAATTTCTACTACTTCAGAAAACTACATTTAAAATAGTGTTTGCTTCTAACAGGAGAAATCTGAACCACGTTTAAGTTATACATTACAATTATTTCATATTATCCCCTTTTCAACTACCTCATGTTCCTTCAGCTTCTTGTCTAGCACTGCAAAGTTTTCTTGAGAATCATATTGACCAGAATGGTAGAAACATCTTTTTAGAAATTGGTCCATCTTCTCATTGCAGTTCTCTCTGAAATTCCACAGCACGAATTTCCAAGCATTAAATATGTCCCCTAACCCTAAGCATAATAAATAATAAGATATAATAATTACCTCTTATCAATTCTACAAGTGAGGGTCTTGCTAACCATATTTCTCAGTTCTGCATCAGTCATCTTACTCCGTGCATAACCAAAGATGGTGAAGTACTGCCATAAACCAAAGCATTAGTTCAATCCAAACACAAATAAAAAATAAATCATCCATCGGAATCCAACCTTAGGGAGACAGCCCTCATAGTAAAGTGCAAAGAGAGCTGGAAATATCTTCTTCTTGGCAAGGTCTCCAGAGGCTCCAACAACAGTAATACTAACAGTGGACTCATTTTCATCCTTTTCACAACCATCTTCAACTCGAGACTCCTGTGGGGACTTAACAGAGAATAATTCAGCATTCAACTGCTTGTGAGATGTTCCATTTTCAACAGGAGGCACAGAAGCTGCTACTGAACCTACATTTAGAAATCACACGCCATATATGACTAAGGATTTCCCAAACAATATATTATAAGAGTAAATAAAATATGCACTACCCGTTCAAATTTTTTACATGGTCATCCAATCACAACCGGCCAGCTATAGTAAGCTTGAAATAAACCCTCAATTTCATCAATAAAGTATTACTTCCTTCCTCTCCTAAATCCCTAAAGGTAAAATATACAGGTAATCCTCCAAGCATTAGAAATCACAATAAGTAGTCCTTCAAGTACTGAAAAGTCCATCAAACTGGTCACTGACGTTAGAAAAATATACCAACTTAAAGACTAAACTGAAGGATATTCAATACCAGAGCAGCTACTTATACATGTTTACTACTATAAGGACTATGGTTATATTCGGATTGCCCTTTGGGGAGTTCCAAACACAGTTCGAGAATAAACTCAGTTTGGATTCAGTACATTCACAAACTTAAATTTTGCCAGAAACCAAGTTTCCATAAAAGCAAGACTTCGATTACTTTTGCAAACTCCATTTACAAAATAAAAACCAAGTATGTTGTTGATGATTTCAAATTGGATGACAAGGTAAGATTCCACACGGACGTATACCTATTAAACTCGTATCATATCATAATAAACACACATTTCCAATTCTCTCATCTCTCCCAAACACATCCCAAGCTTCATGTATACTACAGAAAAAAAATCAGGAAAAAATTCAAAATGTAAAAAAATAAAAATAAAGGGTATAAGAAAAGTGAAAGAAGAAGAAGAATAACCTTCCTGTTGCTGGGTGTGGACGGGAATCTGATACGATTGGGGTTGAGATTTGAGAGAGACCTTAGAGGCGAGAAAGCGCTGTGAGAAGGTGACGCGTTGATGATAAGCGAGGTTAGACGACAAGGGACAGAGTTGGAACGAGGAGGAGGAAGTAGCGAGTGAACGACAATGCGTTGAATAGAGCGTGATGGCCATGAGAGGATGAAGAGTTGGGGAAGAGAAGAGAAAAAAGGGGCAAATAAGAAGAGAAAGAGTGCGGGTTCGGAGAGAACGAGGGAAGGGCCCTTGAGATCTCCGAAGGGATGTTTTCTTTGCTTTGCTTGTCCCTTTCCCTTCCTGGGTGGCAGAGGACAATACACAAGGTCTCTCGATTTATTAGGTTTCCTTTCTTTTTCTTCTTCTTCTTCTATTCGTTTAATCGGTTTTATCTAGGTATGCTAATTGTGTTTTGCCTTTGCATCATTATGTCCTATCGCTGCACCTAACCACGTTCTAGTCAATTTAACTATTTCCAATGTTTGACTTTGAAAAATAACATTTTCATTTTCAAACTCCTACACTCCTCATACTGCTTCTGTCAAAAATAGCTCTCACATGCATTATGTGTCAATAATCAACACATTAAATTAATGACAATATTTGTAACAAACAAATCTAACGATAATTTTTATTTATTTATACTGAGATTATTTTCATATGACATTGATTTATTGATGATAGTTCATGGTTTTCATACACAGTTACCAAAATATATATATATATATATATATATATATATATATATATATAATTAGTATGCAATATTTTTTAAAATCGGATTGGACTATCAGTCGCACATTAATTAAATTAAAATAAATTAAAATAATTAGAACAAAATCAATAAAATAATATTTTTTATAAAAAATAATATAAATTATTGTTATAATTATTATAAATTATAATAAAAATTATAAATATAAGATATATTAGAATATGAATAATAAATAATTAATAAAATAAGATAAAAATATATAAAATAATTATTATTTAAAATTAATATAATTATGAGATAAAAAAATTAAAATATATTATATTTTTTATAAAAAAAAACTATTAAAAAATTTTATTATAATTTTTTTTATCAAAATCAATTTGATCTAAAAATTAAGTATTTTTTTAGTTTTATCCTAATTTAATTAAAATTCAATTATTTAAAAGTAATAAATTGATTTCTATCCCGATTTTTTTATAAGCAAATAACTTAGAACCCATAAACAGAGTACATTACAAAGCGAGATAATAGTCATTAAAAAAACTCAAAATACATAAAAACACGTTAAACAAAACAAATACAAGAATTATTGTACCAGTTTACAAGACTAAAAGACATTCTCATACCAGCCGAAGAGATCCACTTCCAAGAACGTAGACGAAAAGAGTCAAGCAACTTCAACCGATCCACAACGTCTTGTTTAAAGACCACACATTTCCAATACAACAAAATGGACCAGATGACCGCAACCCAAATAATAACAAAGTACTGAGATCACTTTTTACTCCTCCCACATCAAACAAGACAAAAGGACACTAAAGAATAAGACATAACAAAATTAACACCAAACCAGCAAAAAACATTCATTCACTTATTATATGCTACCCGACAAAACACAAAAAGATGCACTGAATCTTCTAAAGATAAATGGCACATAGGGCACAAAGCAGAATCCAACTGCGCTCCACGCCATGTAGAAGCACCTTTTTAAATATTTCTGTCCCGATTTAACTTATCAATCCAATTTTAAAATAGTTTTTAATATATAACTTAAAAAAAAAGTCACGTGACCAAAATGTGGGGTAATAGATATAAAATAATGCTTAATTTTTTAATTTAATAGTTTTTAAAACTAAATTTGAATAAATGAGTAAACAATACATGATGTAAACTTTTTCCAAATTAATGTAAACTTTAATTTCTTTGGTCATTAAGGAATATGCAGATTAGAAAAAAATTAAATAAGGAGAAAATAGGTCTTTGAGATGTTGACTTAGAGAGGTTTGCTTTTGAAAGATTGACCTTAACAAAGTACTTAAAAATGTTTGTGTTTTGATTCACTATCCTCAGAGTGGTTAGTGTTTTTGATATTACCCAATCCTCCCACATTAACTCCAACAAATGAAGTTCAAATCTAAGAATTATTGAGCACTAGTAAGTACTTTTGTCAATAGTATTTCCATGGACATACGAGATTTTCTTCAAGACTCACAAGAGTTGGTAATAAAAAAATTGATGTTCATAATGCATAGGAGAGGGAGAATTGGAAAGTTGCATCACCGTGAAAAAGGCTTGACCTCAAACCGTTGGGTAGAGGAATGGAAGACTAAAAAGATAGTGTAAAAAAATATTTTAATTAAATTTTATCCTTGTCACTTTATTATTTATTATTGTATACAATCTTGATATGAATGGTATACAAAAGTGAATAAAGTATATATTATTTTAATATATATATATATATATATATATATTATTTTAATTTATTTTTTAAATTTAAAACCATGTAAAGTATATAGGCGGTACTAGTAGCAATAAATTTTAGGAAAATGATGGTTTGTTATATTTTTTAAAATATTTTTTACATCTAAATGAATTAATATAATAATATTATTTATTATTATATTATTATCTATGGTTGTTGAACGAGAATATGGTGTGTCAACGTATCACCCTCTAAATTTTAAAACATGTCGCGTCATGATGATGTTACCAATCGGTGCGTTCCTTGTAAATGTTTGTTCAGTTGAATTACGGAGTCCCTTTCCTGAAATAGCCAATTCGATTAAAAGCTTACTAAAATTACATATTATAATAAGATACTATATGATTTAATCATAGATTTAATAAAAAGCACAGAACCACATTTAAGAAGCAGAAAAAGATCCACCTTCTCACGTTTATGTCATTTACCATTTAAGAAGCAGAAAAAGATCCACCTTCTCACGTTTATGTCATTTACCATTTAGGAAGCTTATCATACCGAAAGGAGCATCAAAACGTGAAAAAACTTGTCACTTCTGAATCGCACTGTAAAATGACACATGCAGAGGTGCAGAAAAGAAGAAGCCACTTCATTAATGAGATGAAATCAACTGATACAACTCAACTTTTCCAATTTGAACAACACACAGCTATCTAGACAGTATAACTCTCTAATTAACTCAACAACAGGAATAACAAAACAGAAGAAGCCGGTGAAACTAATACAATAATACTCTAGGGTTGCTCAAACTGCAGGTATGATACCTGCTTGTCCAATGTCAAGAGAGTCAAAGATGATTGATTCTAAATGTCAGTAACAAAATAAATGCTCTACCCAATGAGGTTCTCCTTTGGAACAAGATATACGAGAACAACAACGAAGGCCAAAGACTTTAATAGTGGCCCATAAATAGGTTGAAGAAATTCTAATTCTACTCGATCTCTACTCCACAAAATTGCAGGCCGGCAAAACCTCAGAGTACCACAGCAACCTTCTCTTGGGAAACAAAGGTGGAAGGATGAGCAATCAGGGGCTCATAGTGGTCAGCTCCAGCACCACACCATCCTGTATGTGGAAATTTGCTTAGAAATTTCTTTACGACATGAAAGAAAATCAGAAAGGAAAAGAGAATAAAACTATCTCACTTTGCTGGCTCAACAACTTTTACCCAGAATAAAAATGAATGGAAATTAGAGAAAGCATAACATGCTTGAAAATTAACAACTGCTGAAAGCCTGAAACAAACATGGTCATGTCTACTAAACTACTTTTTTTTCACTAGTACCTGTTCCTTTCATGAAAAGGAAAAATGGAGGTTCAGTAATTCGGCTCCTTGGACGATGTGGAAGGAAGAAAACACAATTTTCTTCATCAACCATGGCATCTGCACCATGTGCTTGCACCTGAAATGATGAACAAACCCAGATGGAAGCATGGTGAACAACAATTACTCACATGTACACAAACAGCACAAAAAAGATGAATTTTACATTTTCATTATATATAACTCGTAAAATATACCAGGAGAAATCGCAATCAATACCCGAATAATAAAGAATTCCCATTCATAAAGACTCAACGACTTAAAGTCATAATCAAGCCTACAGGGAATTCCAGGATACATCTGCAATTGCAGGCCAAAACTCCAACTACCTGGAGTGGCTCTTGAGGTCCCATCAATCTGCCAATTAGTTTCAAGAATGCAATTGAAGAAAACCACAGATCTAAAATACTTTATGATAACCTCTCAACAACAAATTTTATGTAAATTCAATTTACTTTTTTTTTTCTTTCGATGAGAACTGTCATGCAGCAATACACTGCTAAGTTAAAACAAGTAGGAGTATAAAGATCGTAGTCAAACATTAATAATTATTTAAAATCATAACCTACTCTGCAAAAGATAGGGTGATTGCATAGAGATTAAAGAACAACCGGTGAAATGTCTTGAAAAAAGGAAACGTACCCAAAAAACAACTCTAAGTCTAGGCTGAAAGCTCCTGGATTTTAACTTACCACATAGATCTCTCGCTTGAACTCTGTAGCAAGGCATTCAATTGCAATATCGTCACCGAAAGCTGCAGCACGACCCTCTCTATTCTCATCTACAGATAATAAACCCTCCTCAGTATATTGCAAAGTGATGATATCATATTCATCATCAGGAGAACCGGAGATCAACATGTATTTGGCCCAACTTGGACCATCATTCACGGGAACACATCTCTCTTTGTAAATAGACTCCGCTGCCATTTCTCTTCAATCAGAAAAAGAACACATGGTAAAGAAATCAACCAAAACCAAAGGCAACAAACAGCAGTGTGATGGAACTTCCATGCCCAATTTCAACACTTGTCATAGAAAATACATTACAAAACACAAATCTCTTTCGAACATCTCATTTAGCGTGAAAAAGAAATCCAGCTCGCAAACAAATCTTACAAAACGACTTTCATTCTTTAATTTCTTTCGTCTTCTATATAATTGTAGCTGTGAATCTTCTAATAAAACTATTCTACGCTTATTATCCCAACATTTCTCAAGCCCTAAACCAGAGAAAACAAATCGATCAGTTCATAATATTGTGAAGTGAAAAAAATAAAAACAGAACAACTCATTCTTGCATTACTTCTTTTCATTTTAAACAAATCAAATTCAGGTTTGTGTGAAATCAATGAATGAAACTTATAGCAAGTCTGCAAAGAAACGAGTAAATAAAATCAACGAATGAGACTTCTACCGATTCAATACCTTTGCATGCCGAGGTGAATGAGCTCGTCGATGGCCGAATCAAGAGCGAATCGATCCTCCTTCTTCGCCAATAACTTCACCTCCTGAACGACATGAATCCCCCAACCGTTCTTCAGATCCGGCGAGTACATGTGCCGAATCGCTTCATCAATCGCTTCTCTCTCCACAAAACTCACAGATCCGAGATCCTCCAAAAAACGCGTCACCGTTCGCCGCCGCAGCTCGCGCGCGTCCACCTCCTCGCCTCCCATCGCCTTCCGTGACGCCGTGAACAGACAGTTCCCGTCAGCTGACACCTCGCCGCCGTGCGAGAGCCGGAAAACGACGGATCTGAGAGGGGAGGATGACGGCGACGAAGAAGAGTCCTCTACCTCCTCCGCCGGCTTCCAGAGCACGCCTTTGGCGTGGAGCTTCTGGAGATGGCGCCTCTGCTGCTCTTCCAGACCAGCGACATCTTCCCAGCCGCAAGCGAAGGTCGCGCCACCAACGCTAGCCGGCACGACAAGATCTACGGCCGCGATAGGTTCCGATTTCTGATCCCGCCACGGCAGTGCTGCCGACGGCGAACCTTGGAATGGCTCGGCGACTGTGCTTGAATCACACAAAAGCTTCCCCATTATGATGAATGAATGTGTGTGAATACCGGTTTTCTCTCTTTTTTTTTTTGTTTTTTGTGATTATTCGAAAACAAAGAATTTGGGTTTTCTTGTGCCTGTATGTTCAACGGTAAGAATTGCAGAAGAGAGAGAATGGAAGAGAGAGAGTAGGGTTAACGGATAGATGGACGGAGCGGGAGAATTCGACACGTGGATCGATGTGAACGTTAACGTTGTTATGACCTTTCTCGCCATGTAAATATATTCTATTACTATTTAATACTATTTAAAAAATTTCAATCAATAATAAAATGTACTTCAAAAATATATTACCAAGCTCCATATTCTTAAAATGTTAATAAAATTATTTTTATTGTTAGAAATGCCTTAATAATATTAATTAAATTTAATCACTTAATCTTTAACTAGAATCTTCTAAGATAATTATTACCATAATTTTTTTAAAGGAAAAAAATAGTTTAAATTTATTGAAAGGTATAATGATTATGAATATGATTAAGTAACAAATAAATAAAAAAACCTGAAATGTTTAATTTACCTGAAATGATTAAGTAACAAATAAATAAACAAATTAAAGAAAAACAGTTACTCTTTAATTTACCTTAAAATATTTAAAATTTAATTTAATTATAATAAAACAAACCTGAAATGTTTATTTTTTTGTCAAAATTTATTTTTTTCTTAAAAAAAAATAGAATGAGTTTATTTTAAACCCAAAAGAAATAGTTAAATAATAATAATTGTAAAATAAAAAAGAAATCATGAAAGTAAAAATAATAAAATATATGATAATTATTTTCTAATTTTTTTAATTACCGTTTCATATTCGTCACTAACATAGTTGTAGGCGTGGCAATGGGACGAAACAGGCGGGTTTTGCCTCCTGATCCCCATCCCCGACTTTTTTAACTATCCTCGTTCCCGCTCTCGATTCCTGCTAGGGTTAGAAAGTAAGTCTCCATCCCCATCTCTCGTTGGGTTTCGGGTTCCCGTCTCCGTCTCGTCCCGTCCCGATCTATATTATTTTTAAAAAATAATTACATTTATAATAAATTAATTTTACTATATATTTTTTATATATAACTAAATATTTATAATTTTATAATTTATAATTATTATTAATTAAATATATATATTTTTTAATTTACTATATTTATATTAAAATATATATGTAAAAGAAATATTTTATCATTTTTTATTTATAATATTATTATTATAATATTATATTGAAATATTTAGATACTTATAATAATATTATTATAATATTGTATTCAAACATTTGATTATATATATAATTTAATTCATTTTAAGTTGTCATTTAAAAATATGAAATATATAGTTTATAAGGAAATATTTAATAAGTTAGTTCTTATCCAATTAGTTTGAAGTAATAAAATTTAAATCATCAATTCTTTTAATTCTTTAAAATACAATTATTTTATTAAGATAAAATTTGATATATGATAAATATGAATAATAAAACCTAATAAATATAAATTATAAATAAAATAATATTAGTTACTACTAAGATTTATGTAAAATATTTAGAAAAAGATAAAAAATATAAAAAAAATTAACTGTGTGTTCATCAAATTGGTTGAAAAGATTGAAAAAAAATGGGAGAGATTAAGGAAATATGAAAAACTGAAAAGTAAGAGGGAAAATAATGTAATAAATTAATTGATATAAAAGATTAAAAAAGACAAAAAAATTAAAAAGTGAATAGAAGATAAATAAAATTTAGTGAAATATAAAAAAAATGATTTTATATGCAATAGAAAAAGAAAAGAAAATACTTTTAAAATATTAATATTTTAAATTTTATATTTAAATATAAAGTCGGGCAGGGACGGGGTTAGGGTGGGAATTGCATTACCCATCCCCACCCCGACTTTTTAAAGCGAAGAAAACATGAACCCACCCTAATCAACTCGAATTTTCTCCGAAAAACTCGGGACGTTCGTCAATCCCATAAATACAAATTTAATTTGTTAACAAGCAAATATAAACAAAATAGTTATTACTATTAATTATATGCACAATTATTGGTCCACATACAACACAAAAGTTAATTATTTATTAATTAATTATGATATCTATAATATTCTTATAAGATTTTGACAACTCATAGTTGTATTCTTCTACATTAAATTCAAATTAAATAATGTTATTTCTTTTATTAATTTTATGTTTAAATGTTTTATTTTGCTATATTATTTATTGATTTTTTTATTAATATTAATTAATTACTTATTTTTAAAGGGATTAATTGATTTATGTTTTCTTTTTATTTCTTTTAAGAGAAATATTAACCCACCTAACAAAATTTAACATTATAATGAGAACATGTTAATTTACTTGCTAGAAATACATGTCTTAACAAGTCTGTGCATATTTTTATAATAAATAGTTTTCTATAAAATATTGTTTTAAATCATTTTTATTATTTTTCTATTTTTTAAAAGTATATCTTTATTATTTTTAAATATATAAATCATCATAATTATTTTTTAAAATTATCACATGTTTTTTATGATAAAAACATGATTAGAAAATAAAATCTTGATGTATGTATATAAATAAAATTAAATCAACAGAGATATTTACATAATTATTTTTATAAATAATATATTTTTTAAGAAAATTATTTAAATAAATTTTTATCAATTTATTTACTTAAAAAATATATTTATTATGATTTTATAGTTTTTATTATCTCTCCTCATAATTTTTTTTTCTATCATTATTTAGTTTTTATTTTATTCTCTTTTATATTTTTTTCTCTTCCTTGACTTATTATTCTAATAAAAATAATGATGTTAAAATTTAATAAAAATATATATAGTTTTTTAAAAATAAATATTAAAACTACAAAAATATAAATTAATTATTTAAAATTATGATACGAGTATATGATTTTATTTATTATATAGTAAATAATTTTATTTATAATAATATAAATAATTAATTTTAAATCATTTTATTATAATAAATTAATTATTAATATAATTTAAAAAATATTAAATATTCATAAGTTAAATATTTTTTTAATAATTTAATTTAATTATAATTAGGTTAAATAATATTAGTTAGATTAGATAACCCAAAACAATATTTCTGAAAAAATTTACTTTAAAATAAATATTTTTGTAATAATTATAATATAGTAATAATATTTATAATATCTTAAATTTATTATATAATATTTTTAAATATAATATATTATATTATAATATTTTAAATATTTTTATTTTTGAAAAATAATAAAAATTATTTTTATTAAATTTTAATATAATATTTGTAATTAAAAAAATAAGATGGAGTGAAAGAAAAATAAAGAAAACAAAAAAAGAATAAAAAAACAGTATTATTTATTGTCAAATTTTATATATGAAAAAAAATCGTGATAAACATACTTACATAAATTCTAAATATTTTTTATTTTAAATATACTATTAATAAAAATAATTGAATAATGTCATGGTATAATTAAAATATATACATATATATATATATAATAACTTAAAATTTAAAATTAAAATATTTTATTTGTCTAACAATATCAGAATTTATAAGTATAGACCAATCCCAGTGCACCTTTTCTAACGCATTTGTTTATTTATTCATTTTATTTTTTCAAAACTACAAAATAATAAGTACTATGTATTAAATAAAATGAGACTCGCATAAATTTATATAAAGTATTAGTTTTATATTTTTTACTAATTAAAAGTTTATTTATCTTTTATATTTTGATAAATATATAAGGTTATTTGAAGTACCAATGTGGTTTTCATTATTCAAGTTATATTTTCAAAACCTTATTCTAATTTTTAGTATAATTTATTTTCGTTCACTCTCAAATATTTTTTTTATTTTACTTCTTTTATTTGAGATAGATTTATTATTATTATTATTTACCTTCTTACTGAATTTTGCTTTATTTGTATTATTTATTTTGGATACTTTCTTTTACTTACTATATGAGGTTTATTTGTATTAATTTATTGTTTCAATATTTTATACTTCAAAATATTGATAATAATAAGTTATATATTATATATTTATATATTTTTCTGTTTTTATAAGTTTATATTGCATTACTAATTTAACTATTGTACTATTTTCATTATTTATTCTGTTAATTTAATATTAATCATTAATCGCCATAAGATAAATAAGACATATAACTAAGAATGTGATATTTTCTTTTAAGAATCTATTATAAAATTAATAGTAATATACATACTATATAATATAATAATTAAAAAATCAATTAAATAATAAATTTGTTAATAAAAAGTAACCATTTGTAAAAACATGTTAAATAACCTGTTATTAATATTTTCTTAAATAATTAAACCGTGTTGTGATGATGATAAATATTTTGATCATAAAAAATAAAAGTAGAAAAGAAATACATTAAAATCAGTAAATGGAAATTATAATTAATTGAGAGCTTTCAGCAATAGCAATTAGATAATGAGAAACAGTCGCCAACTTTTCCCATCTTTCTTTTTAACTATCATTATTGAAGGGTGAATGAGTGGATAAAGATGATTGAGATTAGGTGAATAATTTGGCAAATAATACAGTGATTAAATTTCAAAGATAAGTCTTTATTTGTGATTGACTTCATTATAAAAGTCATATGGTTTCATATCACAGTCATGTCCAAGAACTGTGACATTTTAGAGTCTATCTCTTTGAAACATTTTCTCAAACACCTTCAAAGCAGAGTTGAATTGGATGTGAAAGATAAACCGGGAGTTGTCCAAGGTGTTTTCAATGTCATAGCTTTCAACTTCACCATCTATTTTCTAGGCATCATATTCTCTTCAGATATATATGTATGCACGTGATTATGGTTGAGACTAACAATTCCTATATTTTGTTTAATGTATTATAATTTATTAAAAATACTACCTTTTAGTCTCCATAAAGTAATTTATTTGTTATAGTTAATATCATCATCTCTATTATATATATATATATATATA